GTAAGTGAAGGCAGGGCGAGATCACAGGACCACAGGATGGGGCTAAATTAAAATTGCTATTGAAGTTTCAGGCACGCATTGTCATTGATAACATCTTATCAGGAGATACGGTTTGAGAGCAGGCAACCTGTCTGACCAAAATTTATTAGGCTGGAATTTCCTCATCCTAATAAGCCCGGGAACACTACAGGAGACCAGGGCTTATTTCATCCCTTCTGCTTCGACCGTAAAAGGCGGCCACCTCAAGGGGGCTATCTATAGACCTACCCTCAGGGCACATTCTCTTTCTCAGGGATGTTCCTTGCTGAGAAAAAGAATTCAGCAATATTTCTCCTATTTGCCTTTGAAACAAGAGAAATATGGCTCTGTTCCATCCGGCTCAAGGCAGTCAGAAGTCTTCTCTCTCTTGCTCCCTGAACATTGCTGTTATCCTGTTCTTTTTTCAAGATGCCCAGATTTCATACTGTTCAAACACACATGCTCTACAAACAATTTGTGCAGTTAACGCAATCATCACAGGGTCCTGAGGTGACATATATCCTCCCTAGCTTACAAAGAAGATGATAGGATTAAAAGATTAAAGTAAAGACAGGCATAGGAAATCACAAGGGTATTGACTGGGGAAGTGATAAGTGTTCATGAAATCTTCACAATTTATGTTCAGAGACTGCAGTAAAGACAGGTGTAAGAAATTATAAAAGTATTAATTTGGGGAACTAATAAATGTCCATGAAATCTTCACAATTTATGTTCTTCTGCCATGGCTTCAGCTGGTCCCTCTGTTCGGGGTCCCTGACTTCCCGCAACAAAGTCTTGTCTTGAATTGTATTCCCATAATTCCCATGTATTGTGGGAGAGACCCAGTGGGAGATAATTGAATCCTGGTGGTAGTTTCCTCCATATTTTTCTTGTAGTAGTGAATAAGTCTCACAAGATGTGATGGTTTTATCAGGAGTTTCCACTTTTGCATCTTCCTAATTTTTCTCTTGCCACCACCATGCAAGAAGTGTCTTTTGCTTCGGGCCATGATTCTGAGGCCTCCCTAGCCATGTGGAACTGTTCGTCCAATTAAACCTCTTTTTCTTCCCAGTCTCAGGTATGTCTTTATCAGCAGCATGAAAACAGACTAATACACCACCTAAGACCTGGAAGCCCCCGACACTTTGAGAAGTCCTGCCTTTGTGGGCTGAACCAACGTATACCTTCCATGTACTGATTTACGTCTTTGCCTATAGCTTCTGTCCCAAGCTGTAACCCAACCTTGGGCACATGTTCTCAGGGCCTCCTGAGGCTGTGTTACAGGCCATGGTCCTTAACCTTGGCAAAACTAATCGCTAAATTAATCTGACTGTCTCAGATACTTTTTGGTTTACTCTGTTAAATCTGCTCTCTTCCTGCCAGAGTCAGAACTCACTCACTCCCTTGAACATCATTAATCTTTCATGAAGGTGGATACCTCAAGACCCAAACTTCTCTCAACACAATCACATTGTCAGGGACAAGCCACATCCAAACCATAGCAGATAAGAAATTATATTCATGGGACTATTACTCTTCTATAACTTCTACAAGACAACTTGTTACAGTAGGTAGCTAGCAAAGCATGAGCAGGGCAGGACAGGGCTCCCCCAACCCACCAGGAATGTCAGGCAACCATCAGGTGATAGTCCGGCAGTTGTCACACTGCCTCTCTAAAATGATAATTGGCAAGCCCACTTGCCCAGTTCCTGAGATCTTACTGGAAGCTGCCGATTACCAATTTCATGTATTTTATCTATTGGCAAACTGCCTCTCCCTGGTGCTGGCTGTGACCAGAGCATGTGCATTAAGAGGCAAAATGGTGGAGTATGACCTTCCAGGGGCATTCCACTGGAAAGGGGAAGAAAGCCTCAGGTGAGCATGCGTACAACTCCAGTATGCACAGCATACATGCTCTCCTTCCAAGCACAAGCAGGGCACCACACATGCTGGCAGCTCACCCTAAGGGAAGAATGAAGGGAAAGGGGTGCAAGATGCCTGAAGCAGGCCAGTATATAAAATCCTAGGTTCAACGTTAAACCAAGCACTTGACCTCCAAGATGCCCACTTGGGTCTCTTTCAAGTATACTTTCCTTTCTTTCCTGCTCCAAAACTTTTTAGTAAACTTCAACTCCTACTCTGAAACTTGCTTTGGTCTCTTTTTTCTGCCTATGTCCCTCTGTCAAATTCTTTCTTCCGAGGAGGCAAGAATTGAGGTTGCTGCAACCCATATGCATATGCTGCCAATAACTGGGATATTCACCACTGCTAACAAACTCTTAACATATGCTTAAAATTTTTCCAGATCAAAATTATTTTACCATGCTTGAGGTTTAGAACTTTAGGGATTCCACCAAACATGTGCTGAAACTGATCTAAAATTACTTATGAAGAAAAGTCTGGCTTTGTCTACAGATGCCTTTTTATCCAGGCCACTTATTTTTTTGTAATTTTGTAGTTAGATATCAACTCTTCCTCTGCTGAAGTGGATTCCAAAGCACTTAGAATCTTCCAGTGGGCAATATAAGACACCAGCATTTCACTCTGTCATTAGAGAAGTGTCTCCTTTCTAGCTCCTAGCAAAAGCTAGGCTGGGAGCAATGACATTTAGAGAAGACTAAACAATAAGTAAGCTCCCATTTACCCCTCCAAAATCTCTAAATTCATTCCTTCAGTGAAAATTTGGACACCTAATGGATAAATATTACAGTTCATATATTTATCACCTTACTTAGTTATCTTCACTGAGCCACAAGTTGATGTCATTCCCTCAGCTTTTGCTAAGAAACAACCATATTCATCAGTTATATGCGTGTGATGAGAATTTCAAGTGATTTTCATTCTCTTCCATGAGTAAAAGAATTTTTTTCTAATAAGAGAAGCAGTTTCCAGTCCAAATATATAAAGAATTTAGAACTAGTAACTCCCATCCTCATTAGAAAAAAATGCTGAACAAACTGAAAATTAACATTTTTTTAGATCTATCAGAAAATGGAGGTCACAGGGCAAGTTGCCACCTCAATAAATGGAGAGATGGGGGAAGACAGAGAATCACGGCTTACAGGTGCAGAAGCCACTGCTGGAGCCAATACGATAGGAACACTTGTCAGAGGCTCAATGTGGACCTGCAGGCAAGGTAACCTCTCCCCACCAGGGGAGGGGCAATTGCAGTGGAGCCCCCACACATTCAAATTTTACCTCCAGAAGCTCCATCAGGTTCTCAAGGTTAAAATCAGAGAAAGTTCCTCTAATGTTTCTGGCACGGGGAACGGGACAAGTAATCCTTTTAAAACAATCCCAGAGCATTCTGTTCTCAACAAAAGCCTGCCTTCAAGGGAAACTATTTTATCAGAGCCTAACCAACAAGGGTTTTACCAGAGTCTATCAGACTTGGGGAAGGGAAATGCCCAAATCCAGCCTGCTCTTCCTGTCTCACTTAAGGGGGAATGGGAAGACCTGAGAAGCACCTGTGAAGGTCCTAGCCCAGGGACACAGGCTTGCTAAGACTGAGACCTAATCTTAGGATCAAAGAATGCTTCTTCTCCCTCCAAATCCTAACACCACATCAATCAGGCACCTGTCTAGTAACAGGGGCTTACAGATAAAAGAAATGCAAGCCTCAGACTGTTTTTAGGAGTCTACAGAAATCCAAAGATGACAGTGCAGATGAAAGCACAGGTATGAGAGGAAATTTTAGACTCCAACACTACAAGCACAGCAAACAATAAACCCAGCCTAAGTTCCAGCTAGATATATATGAAACCTCACACTGAAGGCCTTTTCATCTCAGTTCCTTTTACCTGATAGATCTTGTCTGGTTTTCAACAACAAAAAAAAAAATGACAAGGCATTGTAAAGGGCAAAAAAAAAAAAAAAAAAGGCAAACAAAAACACAGTCTGAAAAGATAAAGCAAGCATTAGAACCAGACTCAGATATGGCAGATAGTTGGGAATTATGAAAATTGAGATTTAAAATAACTATGATTAATATGCTTAGGGCTCTAATGGAAAAAGTAAACAACGTGGAAGAACAAACGGGTAATGTCAGCAGGGAGATGGAAGGTGAAAGAAAGAGGAAATTCTGGAAATAAAAACTATCATAACAGAAATAAAGAATGTTTTAATGGGCTCATTAGTGTACTGGACACAGGCAAGGAAAGAATCAGTGAACTTGAAGATATGTCAAAAGAAACTTCCCAAACTGAAAATTTAAAAAAAAAAGAAAAGAAAAGAAAAAAAAATACCAGAACTACGGGAAAATTATAAAAGGTTTATAATATACACATAACAGAAATATCAGAAGGAAAAGATAGAAAGAGAGAAACAGAAAAAAATATCTGAAGTAATAATAGCTGAGAATTTTCCATAATTAGCAATTGACACCAAACCAAACAGATCCAGGAAACTCAGAGAACACCAAGCAGAATAAATATAAAAAAGTTTACACCTAGAAATATCATACCTGTGATGGCTAATTTTCTATGTCAACTTGACTAGGCTAAGAGATGCTCAGATAACTGGTAAAACATTATTTATGGGTATTCCTGTGAGGGTATTTTTGGAATAGATTAGTATTTGAATTCACCCTCACCAACATAGGCAGGCATCACCCAATCCACTAAGGGCCTGAATAGAACAAAAAGGTTTTATTGGGCTGGGTGTCCATCTTCTCTTGCTCTCAGACATTGGAGCTCCTGGTTCTCAGGCCTTCAGATTATAACAGGTTGAATTATAACACCAGCTTTCCTGCCTCTCCAAATTGCAGACAGCACACTGTGAGACTCAGCCTCCATAATCATATGAGCCAATTCCCTTCTTCTTCTTTCTTCTTCTTCTATATAGAGATACACTCCCCTTCTATATAGAGATACACACACATTTTCCAGCCTTTTCTCATACAGGTGTGACCATGTAACTGATCCCAACCAATGGAATGTGATAAAAGAGACAAGCTTTACTGTAGGGGCAAGAAAAGGGTGTACCTTTTTCATTTTCTCTCCCCTTCACTCTGGCAGATGGAGAAAACCACAGGCCCGAGATGGTGGCAAAGCCAAAAGACGGAAGGAACACGGATCCTAAATCACGGCATCAGGAGTCACCTGTGGACAGAAACACGCTGGACTATGACATCAGTGGAAATCACACTTCTGTTGTGTTTGTGCCTTTATGCATTTGGGGTCTGTTTATTACAGTAGCTATAATAGTATGACCCTAAGTGTTTTGATTCCCTTCCTCTTCTAGAGAAACCACTGAGTGTTCCTTAACTCTCTGAGGTGTTCTAACAACACACCTCCTCTCCAAGAACTTCTAAGTCCTTCCAAGGAACTCCCCAGAGCAGGATTTTCCTTACCATTTTATCAGGATGTACCGGGAATAACTTCTGGCTTTATTGGGTAATATTTTTGAAAAATGATAGGGTCTCACTATGTTGCTCAGGCTGGTTTTGAACTCCTGGCCTCAAGCAATCTTCCTACAGCCTCCTGAGCAGCTGGGATTACAGATACAAGCCGGCATGCCTGGCTTGTTATGGGGTAATTTCTAGGGCTAGGGTTCATATCTTGCTCTTTCTCTTAAGTGCCAGAATCCCAGGGAAGAGAAAGATATAGTCAGCAGTGATGCTCCTTCCCCATTTGGTTCTCTCCTCCTTTCCTCCCCATCTAGGATCCCTTTGTCTGCATACCTGAGGATATCTACCACAAAATGGTCAATTCTCCTTCTCCTGCTTCAGAGCAACTCCTTGAGGGCCAAGGTTGGGAGCCCTAAGGCCAAGGTTGCCTCTTGTCATCATCTCAATAAGCTACACCCTCAAAATTGCTCTATAAGAAGGCACCCCAGAACTCAGTAGCTTAAAACAACACTAATCTCTTCTAATGGTCACTGGTATTCATGTTAGCAAGGATAGCTCTGTAACACATGCCTCCTTCTAATGCCCAAGTTGGAGGGTCAGTGACTACTTAAGCATGCTTTTGTCATAGCAGAGATCAAAAGCTCCCAGAGGTGCAAGGAGAAACTTCTGAGGCCTCTTAGGACCTCTACTCAGGACTCACACACAGTCACTTCACCCCACATTCCATTGGCTGAAACTCACCATAGAAGCAGGCCAAGTGAAGCGGCACTGAAGTACATTCTGCACATCCCACGGCAAAGGTGTGGCTTATAACACTACCACAGGGACACAAAGTACCAAGACTATTAATTCAATCTACAGCAGTACCCGAGGAATAGAGGTATGTGGGCCAGTAGCTATGTTGACCCGGCCATGGGGCCTCTGCTGAAGGAAATCAGAAATGTGTATTCACCAGGGAACACTACAGTTAGAAATGAGTATTTTGTAAAATTTGAGGCTCTTTGGAACTCCTATGGTTTGTGTACTGTAATAATTCAATAGGAGGAAGGATGAGGTCAGACCAACAGCATCATTAAAGAACTATTATGTTGATTAAATGAATGTTCAGCTGATATTAGCCACCAACTAAGAGAAACCCATCCTACTGAATTACCAGAGTAATGCACTGTCTCAAAGACTGGCTTCAATCACTCCCCATTCAGACTCAGATAAAGTCTTATGGACAATGGGAACAATAATAGAGCTGAGAGAATGTTAGGACAATGCATGGTTCAACTCTCTTTTTGCAGATGAAACACCAGCAGAAAGAAGCACAATGACTTAGAAAACCACTTAAACATGAGTCTGCAGTGTATTGTGCCTAAGCCAGCACCTTGCTCCTAGGGTAAGTCTTGTTAGCAATTACAGACCCGTAAAAAGATGGATCCTCTGACAGTAATTGAGATCATAGGACTGTGGGTTCAAAGTCAAGAATTCGGGTGGGTCACTGTTAGTTTCTTCTTGGGGACACCTAATCCAAGCCCATGAGAACATTAGGGCTCTCAAAAACTAAAACTCTAACATAGTAGGGGTGTGTGTGTGTGTGTGTGTGTGTGTGTGTGTGTGTATCTCATAACTGTATTAATTTCTTTTCTAAGATGCTGGGGTGCCAGCAACATCCCTAGTACCCTTCCCGCTTCCAAATGCCCTCCTCAATTTCTATTTGAATCTGCCATTTCCTCAGAAAAATTAAGAGGGCAATGTCAATCAATTCAAACTAAGATGTCACTCCTGTTCTACAAATACTTACTTTATACACAAAAATAATTGTTCATTAAAACAAAAAAAATAAATTCTAGCCTCCCTCCCAATATTTGAACGATCTTTTCCACCCACAGATTAGATCTTCTATGGTCTTGGGCTGTCAGCCGTGATTGCACTTCAAAGATGTGTATGTCATGTCATGCTACATTTTATGTATTAAAAGCACAGTGCACAGTGACCTCTCCCATGACAAAGAGAAGTAAAATTCACATATAAGTAGTAGTGGTCATGAAAACTTGGAAAGACAGGTCTTTTCCAACAGATACTCAGGTCTCAGGGACAATCTAAAGAGTTTGAAGGACTCTTTTCTTTACCAAAGTTTTATCAGGCTTAAGCCCTCTTCTTCAGCAGGCCTCCACCCTGGTCCCCTGACCACTCACCGCCTCCTCCAACACCCCCCCCCAACCCCCCGCCCCGCCCCGCACCGAACCGAACCTGTGGCTTGCCCAGCTCTGTTTTAGCAAGAATCCTGCTAAGTCAGGCTAGAGAGAAATCACCACCCTTGATATCTGATCACCATGGATATCTGATCAAATTTCTCCTTCCCCCACCCTTGATATCTGATCGCCTTAGCCTGCCTTCAGCAAGAATCCCTCTAGGCGCTTGATGTCTTGTCTCAGTAATTTTCCATCTACTGACCCCTTCATTCTGCTCCTTGGCTATACATCCCCAGCATTCCCTGTCAGACCTCATCTCTCCCTAGTGTGATCATCTTTACACCTATAGCAATAACCCTGTATAAAGTCTTCCTTACTGTTTTAACAAGAGTCAGAATAATTTTTTCTTCAACAAGTTCTCAACAAAAACCCAAACCCAGAATCATTTTCTGGAATGAAAAGGGCTTCAGGGCTTCTTGGGTCACTTTTGTTGTATTGTCCACAGGGCTGAGAGTAAACAACTCCTTTGGACGTTTTGGAGAAGAAAGGTCCTTCTATACACCTACTTCGTCCAAGGGATTACATGCTTGGGATTCAACCAACAGCTACAAAAATCAGGAAGTTCCTTCTCCATGTATATGACGAAGTTCTGGACAGAAGCCTGCTGCCAGAATACTAATATTCTTCCTCAAAGACCCCTCCTCATGCCCCTACACTCTCTTGCCAGTCTAGCCTTTCATTCCCTGAAACACGGCGAGAGCGCCTGGAGAGCTCGTCCAAGCAAGTGCAACCCGCTGGTGACTGCAAATGAGCACATGGAACTGTGCGCCCACGCTACGCTCAGTTAAAATCAATCCGGGCTCTTCCTGCCTCGTCCACGCCGAGGTCACACGCAGCACTGAAAGCGGCCTGCAGCTGGTGGGGCAGGAGAAGGCCGAGGGCACGGCTGCCCAGGCCCGCGAGGGACTGCCCGGGCGGCGCGCGGACCGGCCGGAAGCCGCGCCGAGAGGAGGGCCCCGGAGCTCGCGCGGACGCCGTCCCCCGGCGCCGCCGAGGCCTGCTGACATCAGCCGCGCTCCTCCCCTCGCCTCCCAACACCCTCAGCTCCGGGCCGGACCCTCCCTCCTCCCACCACGTGTCCTCCCCGCTCCCTCCCGAGGGGCCGCGCGCACGGGAGGACGGAGAGGCGGAAAGGATGGCGCTGTGACAGCCGGGCCGGAGCCCTCGCGTCCCCACCCCGCGCCCTGGCCGCTGGGCCCGGCGGTGAGTGCGCGCGGGCGGGGGCGGCGGCGGCGCGGCCCCTCCCCCGGGTCCCGGGCGGCTGGGCCGCGGCGGGGCGGGGGCGCCGAGGCTGCGCCGCCGCCGCCGCCGCCTTTGTTGCGGGCCCGCCGGGGTAGGCGGGCGGCGCCGGCTCTCGCCGCCCGGCAGGTGCGCTGGGGCCGGGAGGGGGCCCGGCGGGGAGGCGGGCCGGGCGGAGGGGGCGGCGGAAGCGCTCCCGGCGCGGGGCCGCGGAGAAAGGGAAATGGGGCAAGATGGCTGGAGAAATCCGAACGCGCCCGGGGGCGCGGCGGCGGTGGCGCAGGCGGGGCAGGGCGGGCGGCGGCTCTGGTTGCGGCACCTTAGCGCGGGGCGGCGGCCCCTCCCACCTCTGCCCCGGAGCCGGCCGGGAGACCGCGGCCAAGTTCGGGTCCCAGCTGCAGGCATCTGAAGCCTAGACCCATCCGTGCCGCGTTCGCCCATCTTTTTTGGAAATATCGAAGGAACCGACTTTGAACTCCGGAGGGATCTTTTCTTTGGAGGTCCCCCGATGCAGCCCTGAAGATGCACCCGCACTCCACACCTAGGAATTGCCCGCGCCCGTAGAGGGCAGGAGCGCGGCCCTTTGTACTGGCCAAGAGTCAGCGAATAGGGAATTTGCAGCCCAGAGGCAATGGGTCATTTCCCTGTCGAGGTGGGCCACAGCAGATTTCTGCACCTTTTTGGGTATCCAGGCATACCCCTCGGTATGTTTCACTGACTCCTGGGTTTGCAAAGTCCCTTAAGGTAGAATGACCCTATTTTCTGAACCAGCTCGTGGACAGAACCTTTGAATTTGGAAAATCCAGGCGATGGGCCTACTGAGCCAACCGCTCCGCCCATGGCTTCCAGCACCCATTCCAGTTGAGTAAGTGTCCAATCTGTGTTCAGACACCTTCACTGATAGGAAATCAGCACCCTTCCCCTGCCTCTGATTCCTGTTTGGGTGGCACTGGCTGCGAGAAAGTATTGCCTTTCTCACTGCTTAAAACCTTTTCCAGGAATATTTACCCACTGGCCAGCCTCAGTTCTGCCCTCTGGTCTCTACAAACCAGTCTGGGTTCTCTTCCCCAGATAGCTTTTTAAATATTTGAAGGCAGCCAGATGCGTTATCTACCCATAGCCTTTCTTATCACAATTAAACATGTCACCCTGTAGCTTCCTGGCCGACTCTGTTTCCTTACTTCCCTCCAGAGGGAACAGTGCTTGGGGCTAAAGAGGTTTGTATGTGGCTCAGCGTCCCCCATCATAGGCTTTGGGGAGGTCACAGTGACACCTGGTTTTTCTGAACCTGAATCTTGCTTGCAGAGATGGAGTCCACAGCGTACCCTCTCAATTTGACCCTGAAAGAAGAGGAAGAGGAAGAAGAGATTCGGAGCCGGGAACTGGAGGACGGCCCAGCAGACATGCAGAAAGTACGAATCTGCTCTGAGGGCGGATGGGTAAGTAAGAAGGTGTGGAGTCCACACAGCCAGCAGAAGCAGGCCTGAGAGCCCAGCTTGCTTTAAGTCTCCTCCTCAGACAGACGTGGGAAGTAAAAATAGCCCAGCCCGGTGTGTTTGCATTCCTGAGAGAACAGCTCTGTGGCTTTAAAAGGCAGTGCAAAGAATGGAGGAGGTGGTTATGGAAACAGTCCCTCAGCCATGTAGCTTGTCATCGTTCGATTGGAAGTCCTAGAAGCCAAGACCCGTCTCTCTCGTTCACCCACTTCTCCTGCACTGTGTTTGATGCCAGGCACATTGTAGGCACCAAGTAAATGTTGGTTGACTTACTGCTGGTTGAAGGGAACCATTTTAAATAAGACTCGAGTCATTGGGTTGACATGAGAGGTTAGGCTAGTTGATTCTGTGTGAGCAACCTCTTACCACAGTTCACACAGGAGAGCTGCCTGTCCAGCTGACCTGGATAGAAATGGTGGGCAGCAGGGAATACAGAGATTCAGGGTATACACACAGGATAGTATGATAGAGGTCAGTTTATACAAATGCAAATGCAGTAGATATTTATAGTTACAGATAGTTATTCACAGTAGTTACTGGACTTCGTGGTAATTAGGCATGAATAGTAAACATTTTAAATAAGCAACAAATTGACATTCCTTTTCTCTGCTTATTTTCTGTTGTGTATAAACATTGTCAGTATACATAATATCCTTTGCTTCCATGAAGAGCCCCTATCCATACAAGCATGGTACTTCTAAATTGTTCCCTACCACATGAGGGAACTGGGATGCAGAAAGATTATTTGCCTTGCCCTAAGGATAAACATGAACACTGACATTTGTTCTTCAAAACAGGTCTCCTGAGCTGCACCCTTAAAAGTAATACATTTTACCATATGTATGCTATACCTTAATTTTTTTAAAAAAAAAAAGCAGTGCAAGCACAGGCTCTCAGTTTGCCAGTCTAGCTGTGGACGCTGCACTGCCTTTGTCTCATCAGTGTTCTTTGCCCAACACATCCTTCTTCCCAATTCTGATCCAAGCAGGCGTCAGGTCCATGTAGCCTGGAACAAGACCTCAAGGCAGTCGAAACTCAGGGCTTTGAGGCTCAATTGGTCAACCCAGAACATCTAAATGGAGAGCCTTGGAGAACAGGTGCAATAAAAGTGAATGTGTTGGGACAGTGAGGAATGAGCAAGATGAAGACCAACCATGCTTGGGTGGGGAAAGAAGGAAGTAACCAGAGGGGCTGGAGGAGGGACTCCAGCAGCTGATGGTGCTGGGGATTGGGCATTTGTGGCCTCCAGGCAATCGGCCATCCATCCACAGTTACCAAGCACAGTGTTGGGCGTAAAGAGGGTCTTTTTTCCTGATGTAATTTCCAGTCTTGTGAGCAAGACAGGGAAGTAAACATAAGTAATAGTAAGCACAGTCTGCAGAGTGCAGTGGTGGAAGGCTGCAAGGATGCATCAGGAGCCAAGAAGGGGCATGCCTCATTCAGGCTGAGAACTCCAGGGCTTCCTGGACAAGGCCTAATCTTGAGCAGTGAGCAATTTTGCCCCCACCCCTGGACATTTGGCAACATCTGGAAACACTACCCCCTTTCCCCACCCCTGGATATTTGGCAATATCTGGAAACACTTTTCGTTGTCTGACTTGATAGGGGTGCACTGGGGACTGGGAGATCCTCCTGGCACCTAGTGGGTAGAAGGGGTGCTGCTAGACATCTACAGTGCACAGGATGCCCCCCCCCCACCTGCCACCCACACACATACACACACACAATAAAGAAGTAACTGGCCCAAAACGTCATTGTGTGCTCAGGTTGAGAAACCCTGCTCTAGAGCATTAAATTAGAAGAAAAGAGTCTGTTTTAAAAATACGTATTTTGGTTATAGAGAATTATGTTAGGGTGATCAGTGAAAGGTTTTCAAGCATAAGAACTATGATAATATATTAGGATAAAATTCCATAGACTTGAAATAGAAATACAATTTTAAGTAGGAAAAATAAAAAATGTACTTTGAACTGAGTCTTAGTCATGATGGAATCAGCCAAGGTAAAGGGAAGGGGGTTACACTCCAGGCAAGAGGACAGCACAGGCAAAAGCACTGGGGAGAGGAGCTTGTGTGCAGTTAGTTAGGAGCAGCTCCTGCAGCTGGAACCTGAAACTCATGGCAGGGAGAGGAAGGGGATCAGGCATAGGAGGCGAGGCCAGGCCAGGGGCCAGAGCCAGCCAGGAGGACATGGAGTGCTACGCTGGTGAGTTTGAGCTTTCTCCTTAGCTCTGTGGAATGAGGCCTTAGCCCATCTTTCTAAGGGAGGCCTCAGGCTCTCTACAGCCACCATGCTAAGGCCTGTGTGGCCTGCTAAGAAAGCAAAGCTTTGGCATCAGACTTTCTAGCTCTGTAACCTTGAACAAGTTACTTAAACACTGTTGTTTTATGGGTAACGTAAAAGTGAGGTAGTGATCCCCATGTCCCTAGTTCAGAGGATTCAGTGAGAGAATATATTTATGTGATTGAGTATCCTATACAGTGCTTGGCACATAGCAGGCACTCCATCAGTGGATCAGTACAAACTCACTCCCCTGAGATCCCTGCATCTTTGCTGGGTGGCTGCAAGGCTTTAGTGAGGCTGTGCAAGGTGTAAGCACTTTACAACATTTACCCTTTGAGATAGCGTTGGAATGCCAGCTTCCTTAGCAGAGCAAGGCAGTGCACACAAGCTAGAGGAAGAACACTTATCCAGGGAGCCCTTGATCTTCTGAGGAAAGGGAGGAGGGCAGGGATTGAGGGTCCCTACCTGCAAGGCCAAGAAGGGGTGTCTAGAGGTGGTACACAGACTGCCTGACTTCTCAGTTTTGCCCAGGGCCGGCCCTGTTTACCTTCTGCTGTGTTCAGCCAGATAAAAGGCCTCTGTGGAGCGAGGGGAGGCCTGCGCAGCAGGGCCTGGCTGAAGGATCACTCCATTCTCACAGAGGCTTGCTGTGAGGAGAATTTCTAAGCCACTGCACTGTGCCTCTGGAGCATAATGTGGGCTTGTTTGAAGATCCTCCGTGGCTCAGTCATCAATAGGAGGAGATGAATCCTGCACCAGCCCCCAGCTTTCTTCCTGCAGCTTCAGGGCTCCTGGTACCTGATGTTTTTACCAGGCCTAGAATATGTTACTCCCCTAAGAGTATTGATGGCCCCTCTGAAATGACAGGCATAGCCAGTCCTGTTCCCATTTTATCAGCAAAGGGAAAGGGACTATAAATAGGTATGGCCTAGATCTGGAACTTCCCAGGGAGAAAAAAAGGCCAAAGAGACAGTTCTTTAAAAGCCTGGGAAGTGGGAAAGGAGTGGGGTGGAAAATTCCTGGGCTGACTGGCTTTCCAGGGCAAGGAAGTCTGAGGAAAGCCTGGAGACAAATCCGTCTTACCTCCTTGTATTTCCCACTTAAGAGATTTTTGTCCATTCTTACTCCAAAGAGTAGGCTCGGTTTTGTGACAGATAAAATGTAATGATTCTCTGAAACAGTTCCAAGTGGAACAAGAGAAGGGAAATCCAGAGAAGATTTGCCTAGATCGTATATTCAAAAACACATTTTTCAGTGACTACTAGCTACAGGAAGTGTCCTGGGCTTAGGGAGGCAAAAAGGAGTAAGTACAGGTCCTGCCTTCAACGAGCTCAGATTCTAACAGAGGGAGCAGCCAAACCAACCGAAAGAGTTCTGCAGTGTGATGAGTGCCCCGGGAGTGTGGAGCCCAGGGCATCACAGGGATGTTTGGGTGTGCTCACAGCATGGGACAGAGCGGGCTTCCTGGGGAGCAGGGATTTGGGGCCGAGTCCTGGAAGATGGGTGGGTGTCCGCCAGACCAAGAAAGGGGAGGCCCTCCAAGGCCAGGGGAGAATATGGGCCAAGGTGTAGGGGGCATCGGGGAATGGTTGTTCAGGGAACTGCACACAGCTGAATACAAGCGGAGCACAGAGCTGGGGAGAGTTGAGGGTTGGTCATCAGGGAGGCAGCTGTGCTCAGTATTGCTGGATCCTTGGGGTCACGCAGTGCTGGGTCCAAGCCGCAACCCCACCATTTATTGGCGATGACATTAGCCTGGAAATGAGACCTCTCTAAGCCCATATTCTCCTTGATTAAGTAGGGGCACAGTGGCTCACGCCTGTAATCCCAGCACTTTGGGAGGCCGAGGTGGGTGAATCACCTGAGGTCGGGAGTTTGAGACCAGCCTGGCCAACATGGTGCAACCCCGTCTCTACTAAAAATACAAAAATGATTACAGGGGCACGCATGGCGGCGTGCGACTGTAATCCCAGCTACTAGGGAGGCTGAGGCAGGAGAATGGCTTGAACTCGGGAGGCAGAGGTTGCAGTGAGCCAAGATCGTGCCACTGCACTCCAGCCTGGGCAACAGAGCAAGACTCCATCTCAAAAAAAAAAAAAATAGGCATATCTGCTCCTCCACAGGCCCGTTGCGGGGAATAAATGAAGCAGTTACAGGCCCTTTCCTAGTACGTGCTTCCTATGTGTGAGGTGCTGTGGAAGGTGGGGAGAGAACAAGGGGGCTTCCTTGGGTCAGGGAGGAAAGGCCAATGTGACCGACGGCCTGAGCCCTGAAGTGGCCACAGGCTGTATAGTGTATGGACACTAATTTTCTAAACTGAGGAAAAACAATATCATAATCACCTAGACCCAAGATACAGCTTTGGGAAATAGCTTCAAAGGCAAGAATACAAAATAACCAGACTGAAACAAGCTGTCCAGTGCCTTCTTACCACTAAATAGGATGAGCTTTGGAGTAGGATTTTTAATGACTGAAATAAGAAATACAGTTAAAAAGAGGAGGGTGGTTTGGGTGGCTTGGATGCCTTGGGCTACTGAGGAGCCCCCTGGTACTGGGGCCAGGAAGCAGAGGAACAGGGGAGGGATGGAGTCTTTTGGGCTTTCTGCCTACCTGGTCTAGGATCAAAGTGAATGAGTTTGCTCTGGCATCTCATTACGTATATTAAGCTCTAATTAGCCCTTCTTTCTTACTCTTCATGCTCCTGTGGATCGGAAAGGCCAAGTAGGGCCCCTTCTCTCAGTGGCTGTACTCTGGGCAGCTTTGGGTCCCAAGTCTAACACTTTGGTTGGTACCCTTGGAAATGCAGTGCCCTGGAAACCCACAAAGATCCCATGGAGGGCAGTGATCCTATTCAGATTTACAAACCCAACTCACCCCGCCCAGGGCCGAGGGTCTTTTTCTGGGGTGGGAGGGAATTGGGGGTGAGTGTGTTGGTGGGACACTTTGTCTGGGTGTGGGTGGCTTAAGTCTTGGGTCAGAGGTGAGCCGTGAGCAGCTCTCACCACAGCGCAGGAGGGTACAATGTCCCGGTATCCCCCAGCCAGTGATCATGATCGGGAGTTTTCTTCTCAGGGTGCTGCTTACCTTATCTGAACGGGGGGTGGCAGCCGCGGTGGTGTGCACAGAAGGACTGTGCTTTTGCCCTCGCTGGCCTCCAGCAGCTGTATGAATGTGGACAGTCCATTTTCCCCTGCGTCAGGGTCCCTCGCCTGACCTGTGAGAGGACGGGCTGTCCCAGGCTGTCTGTAAGGTCCTGTGCGCTCTGAAAGTCTGGCTGCTTGTGCCTGTTCGTCAGTGTGAAAGAGCTGTTCACTCTTCTAGGTACCGGCCCTATTTGATGAGGTGGCCATATATTTTTCCGACGAGGAGTGGGAAGTTTTGACGGAGCAACAAAAGGCCCTCTACCGGGAAGTCATGAGGATGAATTATGAGACTGTCCTGTCCCTGGGTAAAGCTTTGTTTTCCTTGGTCTCCTGGAAGCTCTGAGCCCAAAGAATTGTTTCCATGCCTCTCTTCTCTGGTATATCCAACATCCCTCTCTCCTGAACTTAGACTCTGCCTTCTCAATGTCTGTGCCCATTTAATTTCCAATTTTTGATTTGGGCAGAATATAAATATTGTGCCATCCTACTCAGCAACCCGTGCTGCCTCAGAACTGCCCCCATTCAACCCAGGCATTCACATTTAAGGAAAAAAAACTATATAACCTTAGAAATGTCACCATGGATCTGGGCCTGTGCCTCACTGTTCCTTACGAGAGAAGGCAGGCATTGATGTTACCCTGCCAGCCTCAGAAGTTTGGGGACATATCCTCCCAAAGACTGTTTGCTCCTCTCCCCAGCCCCCGCCCCAAATTGATATCACACATCTTATCAGCAGAGTGTAACCATTTGAAGAGATTTCCCAGTTTGCTCATACAGGTACCAAAATGTTAATTGGATCAGCAGCTGCATTCACCCTCTTGCCTGCTAAGTGCAGTTCTTTTATTATTGGTGCCAATACCATCCCTCATTAGGAGAGATCTACCCATTCCCTTGGACAGACCTATTTTCCATTATCTTTTTTCTTTAAGTATCCCTGAGCCTTTTTCCCCTTGTTTTTCACAAAGAAGGGGAGAGTGGCTCTTAAGTATTTTAAAGAGTTGGTAGTGCTCCAGGACAGTAATACACAGCTGTTACCTATTTTATTTCCTATCAACAGAATTCCCATTCCCTAAGCCAGACATGATCACCCGGTTGGAAGGGGAGGAGGAGTCTCAGAATTCTGACGAGTGGCAGCTCCACGGAGGCACCTCTGCAGGTACTACAAGTAAAGCAGTTCAGCGTCCATCCAGCTGGGAACATTGTGAAGTGGGATTTTCAGTGTACATTCCACGGGGTATTTAAGAGGTAGAAGGATTATGGGCTTTGGAGTTTTGAAATCTCCCTCTTTGCAGTGCTAAATGTGTGACCTTAGGCAACTGCTTTTACCTCACAGCTTCCATTCTTCCTCTATCAGCTCTGAGTAACAAGACTCGATGTATGACCTATGTGGATGAAGCAAAATGAGGCTTGTGCAGTGTTTGGTCCAGTGCACCTTCTAGCTGAACAGGGCTACCTCAGTAGTGTACCATGTGCCTCTGCAAACTAAGAATAGTGAGAGGAAGCACACTTCCTGAGTTACCTGGCTTCCTGTCCATTTCATACTGGATAGAAAAAGCATTAGCAGTCATAGTATACCTTTGAGCAAATGTATCTAAGAAGTACCTAGTCCTTTGTCAAGAAAAATGGTTATTGAGGCCGCAGTTGAATAGATATAGCATTGCTTCCAGACTGCCAAAATAGTTTTGTCTTTTCTCCAGAGGAGTTTAAAATGCCATATTTCACTGACTCTGAGACATGTTTTTCCCCCATTGCTTTACTGTCTCTGAAATTGAGAATGCCTCTTAAAATCAGTGGCACATCGTAGCTTAATTAGTAGTGTTTTCTTTCTTAATGGCACATAATGATGCATCCTACAACTGATGGCATTTTAGTTTGGGTGAGATAGGGTAATTTCCCCAAGTCATACTCAACTTCTGTGACCACCTCCTAAATATAAAGTGAAACCCGGTTCCACTGTTAATGTGCAAGAACTAATTTTCTGCCTTATAAGCTTAACTTTGTTAAGTGTGGTTTTTGCTATAGATTTTCTTGGTTCTAAAGGGATATGAATCAGGCCATGATGTGTCTCTGTAATATTATATGGTAATATGGTTTACATTTGGCTTCTCATTCACATAAAAAGTATTTTGACACAAACATGGCCCCCAAATTATTTGGTCCAAGCTTGGTGCCTCTGTTCAATTCCCAGCTCTGCCACTTTCTGGCTTGGCTCCCTTGGTGTATTATGTAACCTCTGTAGCCTCCCCTTCTTCATCTGCAAAGAAGGAACAGTGATATTTAGAGTTACTAAGAGAACTAGGTGTGGGTAGTCCATATAAATTGTCATATGGATAAGGACTTAGGCAATGTTACCTGTTATTAAAGTTACTACTTTTGGTGAACCTCAGAGTAAGGTATTCTTAGCATTTCAACCCCCAAAAATCAGGGTATAAGCCATTTTACTTACTGGCATTATTTTTGCCCCTCACTATTTGTCTCCCAGAAAATGAAGAATCTGACGTAAAGCCTCCAGACTGGCCACACCCAATGAATGCTACCTCCCAGTTTCCTCAGCCTCAGCACTTTGATAGCTTTGGCCTCCGTCTGCCTCGGGATATCACAGAGCTGCCCGAGTGGAGTGAGGGGTACCCCTTCTACATGGCCATGGGCTTCCCAGGGTATGACCTCTCGGCTGACGACCTAGCTGGGAAGTTTCAGTTCAGCCGGGGCATGCGGCGCAGTTACGACGCAGGGTTCAAGCTGATGGTGGTGGAATATGCCGAGAGTACCAACAACTGCCAGGCTGCCAAGCAGTTTGGAGTATTGGAAAAAAACGTTCGAGACTGGCGCAAAGTGAAGCCACAGCTTCAAAACGCCCACGCCATGCGGCGAGCATTCCGAGGCCCCAAGAACGGGAGGTTTGCTCTGGTGGACCAGCGTGTGGCCGAATATGTCAGATACATGCAGGCCAAAGGGGACCCCATCACCCGCGAGGCGATGCAGCTGAAAGCTCTCGAAATCGCCCAGGAAATGAACATTCCAGAGAAAGGGTTCAAGGCAAGCTTAGGTTGGTGTCGAAGAATGATGAGAAGGTATGACCTGTCTCTGAGGCATAAAGTGCCCGTGCCCCAGCACCTGCCGGAAGACCTGACTGAGAAACTCGTCACTTACCAACGCAGTGTCCTGGCTCTGCGCAGGGCGCATGACTATGAGGTAGCTCAGATGGGGAATGCAGATGAGACGCCCATTTGTTTAGAGGTGCCATCACGGGTAACTGTTGATAACCAGGGCGAAAAGCCTGTCTTGGTCAAGACACCAGGCAGGGAAAAACTGAAAATCACAGCAATGCTTGGTGTCTTGGCTGATGGGAGGAAGTTACCTCCATACATCATCTTGAGGGGAACGTATATCCCCCCGGGGAAGTTTCCCAGTGGGATGGAAATCCGCTGCCACCGGTATGGGTGGATGACTGAAGACTTGATGCAGGACTGGTTGGAAGTGGTGTGGAGACGGAGGACAGGAGCGGTGCCCAAGCAGCGAGGGATGCTGATCTTGAATGGCTTCCGGGGCCATGCCACAGATTCCGTGAAGAACTCCATGGAAAGCATGAACACTGACATGGTGATCATCCCAGGGGGTCTGACCTCACAGCTTCAGGTGCTGGACGTCGTGGTCTACAAGCCACTGAATGACAGCGTGCGGGCCCAGTACTCCAACTGGCTTCTGGCTGGGAACCTGGCTCTGAGCCCAACCGGGAATGCTAAGAAGCCGCCCCTGGGCCTCTTTCTGGAGTGGGTCATGGTCGCGTGGAATAGCATCTCAAGTGAGTCCATCGTCCAGGGGTTCAAGAAGTGCCATATCTCCAGCAACTTGGAGGAGGAAGACGACGTCCTGTGGGAAATCGAGAGTGAGTTGCCAGGAGGAGGAGAACCACCAAAAGAATGTGACACCGAAAGCATGGCTGAGGGCAACTGAAGGGAAAGGGAAAGGTAACCACTCAGGAGTAGATACTCAGTGCCTTTGCTGATTGACATGCCCTTCTCTCTTTCCACTATTTTTCTGTTTTTAAGTTTACTTAAGAGCCTACAGTGCAGTAGTATAGATCAGGGGTCTCCAGCTCCCAGGCCACAGACCATACCAGTCCATGGCCTGTCAGGAACTGGGCTGAACAGCAGGAGGTGAGCGGCATTACCACCTGAGCTCCACCTCCTTTCACATCAACAGCGGCATTAGATTCTCATAGGAGCACGAACCCTGTTGTGAACTGCGCATGCAAGGGATCTAGTTTGCATGCTCCTTATGAGAATCTAATGCCTGATGTTGTGAGGCAGAACAGTTTCATCCCAAAACTATCCTGCTGCCCCCCATCCCGCATGCCCTGGGTCCATGCAAAAATTGTCTTCCATGAAACCAGTCCCTGGTGCCAAAAAAAGTTGGGGACTGCTGGTATAGATAACAGACCGTTAGCATTTTCTCCTTTATATGGAACATTTATTATTTGATTTACTTTGTTTCTATTTTGCTCTGTGGCCTGGACCCAGAAACACTTGTATAATAGGTGAAATGAACAAAGAACGAGCTGCCAGAACATCTGAGAGCTGTAAAGTTGAAATTATTTGAGCCCAAAGAAGCATAGTCTGGCATTGTTCAGTTCACACAAAATTTTGTCTGAAAAGCCAACTTTTTTCTTTCCCTTTTAAATTATGCTGAACATTTAGGGCCAGTATGTGTAACTGTGTAACTGACATGCTGGGACAGTTGTACTCACTTTTGCTGGCCTGTAGGACCATGACATAGGGAGACCATTAAGTGTGCCTTCAGTACAGTGTCCTCTGGGCCTCGGGTCTCAGTCCTGGAGCTGTCTACACAGTATGCCACCAGCGAATAAGAATAATAGCGTCTGCTTGCTTTTCCCTAGGGAATTCAGGGTTTTTGTTTTGTTTTTTTTTTTAAAAAATCTTAGTCTCATTATGACCTTCACATGGGCTATTACAATAATTTCCTGTAGTCAGCAGATGTCTGAAGGAAGGTATTTTTAAACTGAATCTTTACACCAAAAAAAGAAAACAGGGTGCATATCCAGGACTCTAAGTGAGTAAAGTTTGAGGGCTGAAGACAATAGGCCTGGAATTTTCCGGGTTGAGTACACAAGAAGAGCAGCTTTCAAAGGAAAGTAGGAATGGAGGCCTGAGACAATAGTGAAATGACCCCACCCACCTACACCTCCAGAAAGGAGGAGGATGAGCATGTACAGCAGGGGGGACACCCACAAAGAACAAACAATTCATTTACCTCTTTGTTCTTATCTCCCTAATTATAAATTAATTTGATCCTCTAGACAGTGTTTTATATGAAGGAAGAAGCCACCGCTTTCACAGAGGACCTGAAACCATCAGCCATCTTCACACATTCTTTTTCTTTTAATTAGGTGTTTCCATCTTCCTTGCTTTTTTCTCCAAATGAAATGCTAATGGGAGCCTTCTTTTACCCACTTCAGCTATATAAGTCTGTATGTGTTTCAAAGAGTGACTTACGTCTCCTTCCTTGTCCCCAAATTAAATTGTACTCATATTGCTGAATCCCACTGTAATTCTGGGATCCCTGGAATTATAATAGAGCAAGGATAAGTTCTTACTATTACATTCAAAATCATCAAAATTGCTTTTTTTCCCCCTTGTGTCCTCCATGTTTTGAGAAACCCCATGAATCCTGCCTCCCTTTTCTGCTGACCCTTATATTGCCTGCATTGGACTTCAAACTGAATTACACTGAGTTTCCATCTTTTCCTCATTTACCTTTCGCTTTTCCCTCTCCTTGTTAGATAACATTTTTGTGCACTTTTAATTTCCTAAGCTCCTTACCACCTCAGGGACATGATTAAACAATTCCAGAAGAGGAAAGGAGAAAAAGCTATGCTGAGTTGCATTTACGAATGTTGGCCTCTAATATTGGTCATGCGCTTTTGCTCTTCTAGACTGCCACCATTCTCTCTGCAGCTCCTGAGGAGGTGATGGGAGTAGACAGATCCACAGTGAACAAGAGATTTGGGAGACCAAGTTGGCATAAAACTGCCTCTTGTCATCCATTTGGAAATCTGACTGGTGGAATTATTATTTCTGTTAAAAGTTATACCAAAAAGCCAAGGGTTAATTCATTTAGGTTCTCTCTGTTTTCCAGCAAATGGAACTCTGATTGAAACAGCTGGAGAGGAAAATCCTCAAGAAGATTATTCCTGAAAGTGTGGATGCGCTGGATGCACAGGGAACATCAGGAAAAGGCCACGGGGCTCTGAACAGCCCGGATTCAGACAGCAGCCTATACATCCATCCCAGGACACAGACCAGCCTCTCCCCACACCATAAAAGGTATCAGAAAAGTCTAGGACCTATCATTTCATCAGAGACATGCTCAGAAAAGAAACTGCTTCTGCCCCATTTCTTGTTTTGGAGATTACTCCATCTGTCCATCAAAAGAAACCTGTAAATATGAACGAACAAAGGTTATTTCCTGGAGGAAAGACAATTTGTTCAACACCAACAAGGGACTCATCATATGGGCACAACTCTGGTGTCCTTCTATGGAGAAAACCTCGAGTAAAGTTTTATTCTGCCTTTGAAAATGCTTCCAAAAGTAGACCCTGTCCCCACACAGGTCAAGACTACAGAGAAGGCTTTGTAGAAATGTGTCACTTACGTACACCTGCTACTTACACATTTCCTCTTTTGGAAAAATGAGATATTTAGGATAACAAGAAAATTAAGACATACTGGCCTGGTGCCAGCAGATGGCTTTTCTATAGACAAATTAGGTTAGTCTGGAAGATATAGGTTAAAATAAACTATGCTGTTTTATTTATCTTCCCAACCTGATTGGCAGCTAGACTTTTTTTAGGGTCTCATTTAGTGGCCCTGTTTTTTTCATTATTATATTTAATGATAGGGCAGGATTTCGTATGCAAGCTCTTGTTTCTCAGGCTGCCTGCAGAAGTCACTATAAATTATCTGCTGTCTACATGGTACAAGGCCCATTGACTCATTTGATGCTTGTTTTGTTAATTTCTTTAATATTTTTATCACAGGGGCAGTGGGAGGGCTTGGGCTTTTAGCCACAGCTGTTTTAAGACTTCTGCTCTCCTGCCCTGCAGGAATAGGTGGGAGGTCATTGAATTTTTACACTATAGTAATTTGCATTCCCACATAAGTTTGAGTGTTACAAAAACATTCCTTTAAAGCGATCTGTGCTACAAAAAATATGCCAGGACTTCACAGACAAAGCCATTGCTAGAAATGTCATTCCAATGATCAAATCTGGAAACAGGCTGCCATAACCACTTTTCCTTCCTGTAGACTCAGCTCACCTGTATATTAAACTGTTCTTGGCATCTTGAAACACCTATTTCTACTCAGGTACTCATTTTCCTATTAGTGATTCACCTTTCTGATCCTTTTAAACCAGTTTTCCCCTAAGGGGGGAAATTTTACTTAACCTCTAGTATCTGAACAACTGTCAATATTTGAATTGTTTCCCCATTTGCTTTTACCTGTACTGTATTCTTGGTCATCTCAAATGGCATCTAAACCCAGCTACTTTGCATTCCAGAAGTTTCCATTCCCTCCAATTCCACCTAATTTTTCATCTGTCCTAGTTACTGGCTCTTTCTTCTTCATGTCTTATTTCTCTTGCTTTGGGAGCTTAAAAGATTTTACAAGACCTAATTTTGGGCTCCTTCCTTGGAGCCACCATTACCCCGCCGAGAAGAGTGGAAAATGGGTTCAACTCCTGTTTCACTCCACCAACACCTCCGTGAGTCTCATCATCGGCTGCGCGATGATGCCTTACAGGTTGCATAGCACTGGAACTTTCCTAGAGTAACGGCTCTGCTGCCAGGGTTTCTCTGGGCTCATTCTTCCACTGACTTAATTATGATCTATGCCTAACAGAGCCCCAGTACAACTATTTTGCAGAATGGCTGTTACCCTAGAATTACTATAGCACATATTGAGACATAGTTGTACTCCCTAGTAGATAGGAACTGACCCCAACAATAAACTTTGATAATAAAGACAACAGGCTATGGTGGTTTTATTTCTTTACCTATTAGCATTGTGAAAAGTTACATTCAAGCTGTTGGCTGCACCTTATTCTCCATCCAATTTGGTACCAATATATTACATCTTTGAATCAAAAAGTGTTCATGAGATGCAGTATAAGTAATACTGGTATCTGTGAAGACACAGAGAAGAATATGCAGTGGGGCAAGTTTGGCATAGCTTTTTTTCTCAGTCATGTTTTGTATGCTCTCAGCAATGGTACATTACCAAAATCACATGAAAGAAATCCCATAAAGGGATCTGAATTTTAAATGAAAGTATGATGAACCCATAAGTCTTAATTATGCACTTTTAGTAAAATTAGTCCTGACAATTTATAGTGCCCATAAAGTGGTACTCGATTCTCCAGGAATAATCTGGCAGTGTTATTTTTCCTTTTTAACCCATCAGCATTAAATGCTGAGCCACTCTCCAAGTCTGACCCCTAGACTAAGCTTCCGTACTCTTCCTCCCAGAGGCATTTTGGGATGAGTCAAAGGCATGGTAGGACACTGGCATTTACCTGTGGTCATCACTTCAGGCAATGGAAAGGAAAAGTGTTTGAGTAACTCTGTCCCTGGTTGATCAGAGAAGTGGGTGATAAAGATGATAAGAACGTGCTAAATAACAAACCTGCACACTTGTACCTCTGAACTTAAAAGGTTTTTAACTCAGAACAACAACAAAAGAACATGCTACACAAGTCCTCCCACCTGCCTGGTAAAGTACAGCCAGCCTTATCACACCTGGTTTTGCACAGTGATAAATTCCTGCAGGAAAAAAGTTTTATTCTAAGTCTGAAATTATATGGTTTCTAACAGCTTTTTCCTTGTTAATTATTTTTCTACATGATGCTTAATAATAAGCTTTTGTTTCTTAACCTAATTAGAGAAGAGATTGCACTCAGAGTCCCCAAAGCTGGCAATAGTGTTACAGATGGAACCAGCCTTTGGTGGACAGAGTTCAGATGTTTCAAGAGGCTCTTGTGAAAATGCTAAGTATTACTGTTTCTACCTTCCTGCCCTGCACTTTACCCCATCTCCCTCTTTAGAAAATGATTTCATAGGAAAACTGGCATGAAGAGCAGATAGTAGAGTGTAGACCTGAAATACATGAGGCAAAGGGAGTCCTCCAGCATTCTATGGTCCTGCCAGGTGGGTAGGTGACTAGGAATTCAGGCCAGGTCATAGAGAGTAGTGGGAAGTTTTCCTGTTTGCAGTTTCCTCTGTGCTGTACATACAGCCATACAGCCTATGGAACCTGACATTGCAGTGGACAGCAGGACATGGTCAAGGCTCCTGGCTGCCTCTCCATCTATGGAACTATGAAATTTCACACATACTCCCTAGGCAGCATTAAGGCCCAGGTATATAAGCCGTCCAAACCAAAACTATATTGGAGTATTAGTTCAAATTCTTCCAAGCCCTTAAAGTTCTTACGTAGTTTCTCACCCAAAACTAATGGCTTGTGCCAAGAACTGAAACTAAGCTATTGATTTTTTTTTCCAAGCCTTAATCTATACATAAGAAATTACATACCTGGCCAGGTGCAGTAGTTCTGGCCTGTAATCCTAACACTCTAAGAGGCCAAGGCAGATTGCTTGAGCTTAGGAGTTCACAACCAGCCTGGACAACATGATAAAACCCTGTCTTTAGAAAAAAAAAAAAAGTTTGTAATTACCCGGGCATGGTGGTGCGAATCTGTAGTCCCAGCTACATAGAAGGTTGAGATGGGAGAATCACCTGAGCCCAGAGGTCAGGGCTGCAATGAGCCGTGATCACACCACAGCACTCCAGCTGGGGTGACAGAGTGAGACCCTATCTCAAAAAGAAAGAAAAGAAATGGCATACCTTAATTGGAATCTGCTTTTTAATCTTTCTCATCTAGTACATTATTTTGAGAAGTCTCTGCCAAGCCCTCATAAAGCAGACAATTTTCATATTTCTGTAGAAGGCAATATTCCTTATAATGTTTAATAAACAACAAAGTTTTCTCCCAAAAGGTTTATTTGTCACATTTAAAGTACAAAATCAAATACACAGATCCAGATATGTGAACCATATATACATATCTATACAGCCATTATTTAGACCGAGACAAACCTATCTATACATTCTAATTTATCTATCAACACTATCCCTTAAATAAAGAGCAACACATCTCTTAAAGTAGGTTTGTTATCAGTAACACTGTCGAATGTAAATTATTTTCACTTTATCACTTGAAACGGTAGAAACAGGTACCTCCTAGAAACTGGGGAATTACCAAGCATATATCCAATTTGTATAGATTTCTTAAAATACATTCTATAGGAATAATTAACCAAAGAAACTGCCAATCAAAGTTTTTGGGCCTATTTAACAAAACTTGAGTCATGGGAAGGCGTAAAGTTAATTAACTGCATTACAAGAGTATTGTTTTGACTTTGGTTTTAAATGCAAAGAGGGACTTTATTTTGTTTAGTATACACAGAGCATTTCCATGTCATATTTCCTGTGGAGTTATAGTGATAAATTTCTCAGGGGCTATCTATAGCTATTAAAAATTAAACTGGTCACTAAAGGAGGTATCTGATTGTTAACACTGTAGGTTATTTCAACCAAAATGCAAGAACACATTCTTTAGGAGAAAGGCAGAAATTTTAAGACTACTAGATACAGAATGTATGACGTCACTGAACACACAGATATCCTGCTGATCAGGGGGATTAAGTTATAACAGCTTCTTTGTTTTACGATGTCATCTATCTTACATGCAAACCACAGGACACTAAGCCTCAGGTACCTAAATATCTCCATTTCAGGCACAGGATTTCGTTAGTGCCTGCTCCCACAACTGGGAACATACACACATATAGAAATATGGGTCATTACCAAAGATTTATATTAATGGCTTCACAATAGCAACACAAAATGTACTCAATGTCACATTTCCATAGGAAAGGTTATATATACACTATACACTTCAGCCTTGAAATGTGGACCCCAAAAACATTCAATTTGCAGTAATCAATGAATTTGGTGAGGGTCCCACACCCTCAAATCCTAATTTAGCACAGCAAAAGCCCCTCCTTGGCTGCCAAGCGCTGGCGGTGAACTTTGTCTTGCTGCAGCTCTTCATGATTTGGATGCCAGAGTTTCGTGATGATCCTTTCAATATTAAGGGCATAGACAGTATGTGTAGGAATGACTTCCCTGTGTACCTGGGATTAAAAAATTAACGCGTCTCCAATTATACTTCAGTAGACTTATTTTTCTGACATATAGAAGGGTTTAGATCAACAAAATGTACACACATCTATAAACTTTCAGTCAGACACTAAAATGAATCACCAATTGAATAATAATAAGATAAGGAAATAAGCTTCTGAAACAGGAATAGGAGAACGAGGGATTTTTTTTCTTTTCTTTCTTTATTGGGGAGATAGAAGATGGGCTCAGGATTTGAAAAATGAGGCTAGTATTAATAATGGCTTTTATAACAGACAAAACTGAAAAACACAAAGCCAAGAAGTGGAAAAAAAACAGTGAGTACCTTTGTAGACTTAAAGACTCTTTTAACCTATCCATAAATCTAGGTAAACTTTAAGGAGCCAAGACTTACCTGCAAAGCTTCAAAAAGGTCATACATGTTCACTGGAGGCAAAGATGCAGGCAGTGTGTCTCCAGAGCACGCCAGCAGGAGTGCAGCCTGCTGCTCAGCATCATCAGGGGGTGGGTGAGAAGCTGGATTCTGACCAGCACAGGGAGCAGTAAAAGCTGGAGGGCTGAAAATACAAATTTCAGAAATATTCCCAGCATGGAGACAACCAAACAACAAGGACAGGAGTGGCCTGCTAGAATCTTATTAAAAATATATTTAATTGAATTAGAAATCCATTCAATGTCTACTCCTGTAGATATGAATAGTCTGTAATTTTAATGTGTAAAGGCTGGAAATAAAACATAATGCAACTACATTTACCCTCCTTCTTCCACAATGGTAAAATACTTACTTAGCTCAGGATACTGAACCAAAATTGTTTCCTACCCTTAAAGAGCTTCTAGTTGAAAAAACTAATAGACCTTAACTACAGGAATATAACATTAAAAACAGAGGGAGGTGAATGGTACTGGAGACAACTCGTTCTAAAATAAATGAGAAGAAAAGAAGACATAGCACAGAAGCAACAGGCAAAAATGGAGAGTGGGGAAAATTAATTCGGAACCTGCCAATTTCCCAAAATAGAGGAAGATACAAACTGAGAAATCAGACATGGGTTTTACTTCATAACCCAGTAGGAGATAACCTACACAATGCTGAGGACATATCAAGAGGTAAAACAAAAGAGTAAAGCAGTAACTCAGAGGAAAGCACAGTGGAACGTTAGCGTGGGACTGAAGCATCAGACAAAAGCAGCCCTGTTAGAGTAACAAGTGGCCAATAGAGAGGCAAAAGCCCTCAGAGACCAGCCAGCAGGGCAGAGAGGGCTTGGGAGTCCCGCCAGGGCCAGACGCTGCTCCCAACATCACCCACTACAAGGAGCCACTTTTGGGGATTTGTTTTTTTCTAGAGAAGAATGATCCCAAACAGATACGCTTGGATGGGATTCAGACAATAAATCACCACATATGGCAATCTAAACAGTGAACCCAATTTAAGATGGGTTAAAATAGGCCCATGACCCCTGTAAAGGTCTTCAGAGTCATGAAATGGGCACTGGCACAAACTCCCACATGTGGTATCAACATTTTCTCTATCCAACTCTCTTAGCTTTTCACCTACACCTCCTGCCTTCCCTTCCTGTCACTTCACCAATCACCCTGCCAGCCTTCCCAGTCATACATACTTTTTTCTCTGAACTTGCAAGTCCCAGTTATCTCTGTACCTCTCTTCTCCCAAACTAACCAGATATGCAAAGTCCAGCAAATCCCCAGAAATTCAAGTCACTTCAGTAACCATAAAGAAAATTATATTATTGTGTTTTTTTTATTTCTCAAAGGTTTAAAATTCAGACTGAATTCCCTTTGGGGAAAGTGGAGGACAAAGGGAGATGGAAGGATAAGAAAGACAACACAGGGATGAAAGTAATCCAGGCTGTTTCACAAAGGGGTGACTCAGGACACACAGACATCCTGAAGCCCTCAATGGGAAGAGGACACAGGAATCCCAGAGGTGAGCTGAGAGACCACGTCTGCACAGCAGGAGGCCAAAAGCAATGTGATGACACCAGGCACAGGCCACTATCTTGAGCTCTGCCTACAAGAGCCAGATGAGGGCCTGGAGTAACACCTACCACTCCTCCTCCTCCTACCACCAAGACACCCAGTTGTGACCCAACAATCACAGGCCCTGCCTCTAACTGAAAGCAGGCTCACTTCCCCACTGGGCAGGTGATGCCCCTCAGGAACCCTCAGGATGCACTGCCTATGCACTACTCCATTCCCCCTAAGAAAGTTGGGGAGGGGGGATGGGGGGACAAGCACATTAAACCCACATGCAGCAGCCAAACTCTGCAACTTCACTTCTCATAAAAGGAGTACCAAAATAATTCACTAGATCTCAAGCAAGTATCAGACTTAAAAAAATAAAATTGTACTCCTATTAAAGGTACTTTAAACCTACGAAAACACAATTATTTAACAATTAATTATTTACACATAAGAAGAGTATAAACAACTACCAAAGATGGAAGAAAATCACAAGAAACTTCATTTACCTTTCTATTAAGTTGTTGTAAGCTACTACACTATTCTTCAGGTATGGCTGCGGGGTCACATTACTGCCAAAGGCATATTTAAAATGGCCATCTCGTAACCGATAAGCTTTCCTTCTTGACACAACTGATGTCAGTATATCTTTCAGGTGATTCTATAAAAATAAGAAAAGAAAAATAGCATGATAGCCTCTTTAAAAGAAAATCATAAAACTTCCATTGACCAAAAAACATTTATTGGCATTTAGACGGAGATGCACAATAGGTTAGTATATGCTAGAACCAAATGAACGTTCATATGAAGAGCCACAGAGCCACACCAAAGAGCAGGAGGGTATGGGAAAGAGGGGGACATGCTTATTGTCATTAATAGTTCTCTTTAAGATGGGCTTGCTATACATGAAATTTGACAAGTCTTTACATCTCTAAATTGGCTCTTCTCTCTCAAAAATGATTTTTAGATGGCTTTAAAAGAAGTACACAAAAATGACTTTTTGAGATGGAGTCTTGCTTTATTGCCCAGGCTGGAGTGCAGTAGCACAACCCCGGCTCACTGCAACCTCCGCCTCCCAGGTTCAAGCAATTCTCCTGCTTCAGCCTCCTGAGTAGTTGGGATTACAGATGCCCGCCACCAGGTCCGGCTAATTTTTGTATTTTTAGTAGAGGCGAGGTTTCACCATGTTGGCCAGGCTGGTCTCGAACTCCTGACCTTGGGTGATCCACCCACCTTAGCCTCCCAAAGTGCTGGGATTACAGGCGTGAGCAAAAATGACTTTTTAAAAAGAGACAAACTATGCTGAAACTTTAAAATAGGACAAAAAGTTTTAAGATCTGATATTATTGGAACCAAAATCCTTGCGTGAAAAGAACCTTGGCTCTCTCAAAAGCCACATAAACAACAGATATATAGGAAATAAGCACAAAATAAATTAGGTACTTGATTTCTCTTCACTTTCATGAGAGCCAAGTACACAAGAAAAGGTTCAGGAAGCCTGTGAAAATAGTGACAGAACTCGTCCCAGGCTACCATTATAGGGTACCATTGTAGGGGAGCCAGGATCAGGCAGGGTGCTTCAATTATACCAAGGAAAATCCACTTATATCAAGACGTTATTGTACTATTTAAGTTGGTTTGCGCACCAACTTATATATTAATGTTTATAACTTATATTAATGTTTATAACTTCATGAGACAGCTGTTATTATTTTTGAGGTACAGATGAAGAAAATAGGGCTCAGAGAATTAAAAATCCAATGTCACCTGACTGTACCCATGCACTATAGACCTCAACGTCAAATTAGTTTTGTCAACTAACTAAATGAATAAGATGAATAGACGAATGAAATCATGTGCAGAGATAAGAATCCTGCTGTTCAGATGCCAAGACTAATACTTTTCGGTGCTGTATCACAGCAAAAACAAGTGACTATAATCTTTAGGATTCTCAATTTCATTTCTTTCCTTAAAAACTGTTCCCCTGTTGACAAAACATCAGATCAACCAGAAGAGTTATGCCATAAATAACCTTTCTGAAAAGCTTAGTCTATTACCTGAAGACAATTATTTGGATTGTAATGAGTTTCTCCTCTTAAAAGAAAACAACTTTCAGCCAGGTGTGGTATGGCTCACACGTGTAAATCCTAGCACTTTGGGAGGCCAAGGCGGGAAGACCACTTGAGCCCATGAATTCGAGACCAGCTAGACGACATAGAGAGACCCCCATCCCTACAAAAATTTGTTTAAAAAATTAGCTGAGTATGGTGGCGCAAGTCTGTAGTCTCAGCTCTTGAGAGGCTGAGGCAGGAGGATCGCTTGAGCCCAGGATTTCCAGGTTCCAGTGAGCCATGATCGTGCCACTGCACTCCAGCCTGGAGACAGTGACGCTGTTTCAAAAAAAAAAAAAAACCAGAAAACTTCAACAATGACAATTCTGTGAAATCAGAGTGACATTTGGATTCTTTTCTTGCAATACCGACTTTAAACAACACAAAGAAGCCTATCACATTCAACCTGTAAGATTATTTCTGCCAACACAAACCAACCTCCACAGCATAGACAACAGCTGAAACTGCCTCCTCGGTGACATTGTCCAGCCCATGCTCATAAGCAGTCACGATCATTCTCCCTTCAAGCTGGCCTCGAGTGGGAAGCATCATTGTGTGGGAACAAAGTTTCAAGTCGTCATCATCTTGGGGATCCTTTGCCACAAATTGCTGAGCTCCTGAGAGAGGATTTTGAGGCTGGAATCTATGCTATGAGTAAGAAAAACTTTTAAAAATTACTCATCACAGTGGCAAACAAGACACAAAAGTTAACTCCTGTATTGAAGTTGAGATCCTACAAATTAATGCCACCAAAACTATACCACAGGAGTTAAGGGGAAAAAAAGTTAATTCATGCACAAATAATCACAAATTCACATCCAATACAAGGTAATAATGAAGACATGGATTAAGGGGAATAATGATAGTTTGCATAGTAGTTTATTCTATTCAATTAATACCTTGGTGATCACAGAATGTATGGCACTGTGTTAAAAATAACTGACGGAGAAGGAGAAGTATAGAACTATATTCAAACAAGTCAGAGCATTTTAAATCTAACCGTAAGTAGGTTCTAAAAGTACAAACATATAATGAATGATTCAATTAAATCTTAAAAAGCCTAGCTAACCAATATGGCAGATCTAGTAACAAATATTCCAAGATAATGCTATGTAGTGTAACTATTTAATTGCTGTTATTTTCTACTTAGAATTCTCAACACAGAACCTAAGATATAGTCATGACTATTTATCTCAGTCTTTTTCATTAATAAAATCTCAGCCTTCCCCTGGGAGATTCTGATAGCCCATTCATATTCTCCATCACCACTGGGAGATATGCCCCGGTAGCTTTTGCTTAAGGCCAATATAAAAGATTTTGCAGTGAAGATGTTTTGTCCCTGTTTGAAATTGGTATTATGAAACCAACACAGTTATTTTTCCATTTTCCAAGCACAAAACTACTTTATATTGAACATGTCTTTTTAAATCAGACATGTCTCTCTAGAGATCCCGATGCCCTCTAGATTCTTACTGATATAAAGCATAGAGTCAAGGTGAGAATAAGTAATTGTTTATTGATGCTAATCAATAAAGCTATCAATACCCCATAAACCTACAAAAGGGTTACTTTGGGGAAGTTTCTTTTCCCTAAATATATACTGGAAAAAGCAATTTGTTTTAAAATGCTTCCAAATTTTATAGCCAAATGCCTTCATGACATCTCTATTAGTCCCCAAAAGGCTCAGGGCCCAGCTGGGGATCACCAAGATCCCACCAAAGGCCTGCACGCTGCCTGAGCCCTTGGGACAGATGTCTTCATCCAAGAAACATTATTCATTCAAGAAAAATATTTAAGAGGAGAGACAAAGGCATTGTTTTGAATAACTGAAAAATCATTAGGTACTAATGATAACATTAATATTTAAGCAACAAACAAGAACTATAAAAATTCAGACACCTAGAACTCACAATCCTTGAAACCCTTTTCTTCCCAAATCATACTCCCTTTTTTTCAACTCTGCTACCAGTATTTTAATATTCATTTAAAAACTAAAGCTAGTCCCAACACGCCAGTACTTCAATCAGTCATTATCAAGATCTATTAAGGAACAACCTACATCAAATTTCTGACGAACAGAAGAAAGCTTTTTCTTTCCTTTGGGTTTTCCAGGTTTTGCTGCGGAACCCCCTGGCCAGGGCAAAGATCCAGCACCATCTAGGAGACAGAAATATATAACCATAAGTAAAAATAAGGACAACTGATAACTGCTAAGTTTGTTTTCATTTGGGGTAAAAAGCATGGAATGCTCATGAAATGCAAATAAATAATGAATGCTTAAATCAAAATCTTCTCTTTCTACTTCTCTAAATAAAATCATCAATCCTCTCAAATCACATTTTTTTTTCCTAGCTGCAACTAAAATTTTTTTAGGAAGACAAATTTTTTTGTATTTTTAATTACTGTTTATTGGGTGTTTTGTTTATTAGCAGTAGTAGTATTATAGACTAGACCAGCAAATTCTGGTCTAAGATGATGAACTTAGCACATGTATTTATCTCCTCTACCAAGATGCTACAAAATATGAAAGTAAGGAAGGTAAATGGCACACTTGCACAACAGAGATTAAAATGGAAAATGAGTGGCAGACACGATGAGATGTCAACACATTTCTAGGATGGACTAAAAGGGTGCAGACTCACGAAGCAGACCCATGGAAGCTGTAACCTAGGCTAGGCAAGGAAGGTGGCAAGTGAGGCAGAAGCACGTCAACCTGCCTGGTAGAAACCCACAACCTGGATTGGGAGAATGTGAGTGAGTGGAAACGAGGAGGGATCTGTAAGGCTAAAAACAAAATTAATGGAATGTCTATATCCTTAAATCATCCACACAAACCCATTCACTCACCCCCAAAAGTGGGTTCAGTGCAAAATCAAAGTGCTGGGCCTCGTGTTCAAAAATTAAGGATTTCAAGATAATGATGGTACAAACCCAAGTGCAGGGCCCTTCTGTGCAACTGCAGGTCACAGGCCCATGAAGGCTCATTCCCATGCACAGATGACACAGAGCAGGGTATTTGTAATAGCTGGGGCAGGGGGTTAGAAGGAAGGTGGGGAGGAATAAGGACTCTTCTCTAGTTAAACTGAACACAATTTCTGGGATTTACTAAGGTAGTTGGTATGGATGTCGGTACCCTACAGCAAAGCTCTCTGCATACGGGAATTTGGGAGACCCCAGTTTAACAGTAGGCTTCCTGTCAGCTCACTCTAAAGCAAAGTCTCTAGGCAGTTTTATGCTTCATTCTTAAAACATGAAAAAGACAACAATGAATCACCAGATATTTGACAATATTCTTTCACATGACAAGAAAGAGCAAGCTAAAAAAACAAAAACAAAAACAAAACAATAGAGGTCCTAGACAGGAAATGCAGAAGAATTCTGATAAAATTTCCAACTGGTATCTGCAGAAAACTTTGAGAACATGTTTATCCATGAAACAAGATGCTATCAAAATTGCTGAATTAAAGAATGCATTCAACAGAAAGGCCAAAAGAGTTGAGGAAATCTCAAACACAGAGCAATAAGACAGAGATGTTAAAATCAGTAAATCCAGAAACAAATTTAAGCAACTATGAGGGCTATAGAAGTCCCACCAGAAGAACAAAAAAACAAAAAGTAGTTGCCTTTGGAAATAGGTCTGGGGTGGGAAAAAGCTTTTATCGTAAAACCTTCTGTGCTACTGATGTTTTTTTAAACCATGAATATATATTGTTTAATGTTAAAAAAAAAAAAAAGAATACAACCTCACTATAGTACACTTAAAAAAATGTTTAAGAAAGAAAAAAATCACCCATAATCATAGTAAAATGTTCCTGCAATTTTGATATTTTTGGAAAGAAACGTTTTTAAAGCTTTCAAAAAAAAATATTCCAGATTCCTCAGCTTAAAAAGAACTGTTTGGGAAGTCAGGTTCCTCTTATCTTTGGCATGCACAGATCTCACTTGATAAGGTCAGTCAATCTTAGATGATTTTCCCAAGAAATCTCTTCCTGATAAATGAAACTGGATGCTAAGTGATGATAGGAAAGTAGGCTGAACATGCAGATGATGATGCAAAGGAGCAGGCCTGCAAACTCAGAGTTTACCAGCTGCTGCTGTATGGCCAAGCAAAGCATGGTAAGGCCTAACCATGACAAAACGGAAGGCTTTTTAGTAGCACTTAGATTTCAGTTTTGATCCAGCACATCCAGGATTAAGGCAAGTTTTTATTTTCTTTTGTTTTGTTTTATCTTCTCTGAAGTTTGTGTCTTTATCTATAAAAACAGGCTAACACCTACCCTGCAGAATTGTTGTGAGGATTAAAGACAATGCATATAAGTGTCTAGTATGCTGCACTCAACAAATATTATTATTAATATCATCTTTCCTGACAAGTTTAGAAAACTAGAAAACAACCCATCCAAAACTGTGAGGTACAAAGAACTATATTTTACTTTTAATAGAAATCTTCTCTTTGTTGCTAACAAATATTAATTTCATTTTGAGAAATTTGGGGTGTTCAATGGAAGAATACATTCTCAAAATCCAAATGCTTCTTCATTTAAAATAACTATTAACAAGCATTCAGAATATCAAAGGTTTTTATCTAATTAAAATCAGCCACCTACACTTACGAATACCACTTCAACACTTGTTTGGCAATTTTTATTTATTCTTTTAATTTAATTCACTTTCTTTTTTGAGACAGAGTATTAGTCTGTTGCCCAGGCTGGAGTGCAGTGGCACAACCTTGGCTCACTGCAACCTCCGCCTCCCGGGTTCAAGCGATTCTCCTGCCTCAGTCTCCCTACTACGTGGGATTATAGGTGCCTGCCACCACGCCCAGCTAATTTTTGTACTTTTAGTAGAGAAGTGGTTTCACCATGTTGGCCAGGCTGGTCTTGAACTCCTGACCTCAGGTGATACACCCACCTTGGCCTCCCAAAGTGTTGGGATTACAGGCTTGAGCCACCGAGCCTGGCTGGCATTTTTTATTTTTAAAATCACTTTTTTGTAAGTTCATAATCCTACAGGGTAGATATTGCTATACTTATTTTATAAATGTGAAAGTTGAGAACACCCAAGTAACTGTATTATGTAAGCTAGTGGCAAAACCTACAATTGAACCTGTCTCTTGACTCTTATCAACCAGGGTTTTTATTTCTGATCACTCCATTTATCTTTTGCATACGTGGCCATTTACAATATGCTTCCCTAAAAAGTAAGATGTAATCCTCACAATATTGGCTTTTCTGATCAAATTAAATTTTATACAACAAAGTAGATTATGATTTAACTTTGGACACAAAAGAGGAACGGCTAAAGTCTACTTGTATATAAATTAACTAACACATCAAAAATCTGACACGGTGTAAGAATGTGCGGTGATGAGTGTGGTAAGGGGAGGGAAGCAGTCACTGCTCTCTAATACAACTCCACAAGCAAGTGGTCACAGTTTACTACACATTAACGACTTCTTTGAGGGTCAACGAATGAGGTGTTAGGAGATCTTACATGAATTCTTTTTTTTTTTTTTTGAACACAGTTTCACTCTGTCACCCAGGCTGAAGTGCCGTGGCACAATCTTTGCTCGCTGTAACCTCTGCCTCCCAGGTTCAAGCGATTCTCGTGCCCCAGCCTCCTGAACAGCTGGGACTACAAGTGTTAACCACCACACCTGCTAATTTTCTTTTTTGTATTATTAGCAGAGTAGGGGATTTCACCATCTTGGCTAGGCCGGTCTCCAACTCCTGACCTCAAGTGATCCGCCCACCTTAGCCTCCCAAAGTGCTGTGAATACAGGCATGAGCCACCATGCCCTGGCTGTGAGTTCTTTATCATACAGGAGAAGTAAACAGAGAGAGAGGATAAAAAATACCAGGCATTTATAGATAAAACATAAGCTTTCAGTATATGATTATCAGAATCACCCTAAGACCTTAAAAAATTTCCATTTAATCTACAACAGGAGTTGGTAAGCACAATTCTAATGGTAACTTTTGTAGTCTTATGAATAGATATAAATTGCAATTTAGAAACAAAAAAACTACTGAATAAATCATTTGGCCTAATTTTTTTTAAAAAGTCCAGGATGACTTTTATCATGAGGAAAGTTTTCAATGTATTTAATTACTTGTTTCTGACTGATTAAACTAAGATGGTTGAAAGAGGTGACTTATAGCTTAATCTTCTCTTCAGGTTAAAGTGACAGGTTTCGTTTCTACCTACCCCCTCAACATGCTACTATCCCCTGCCTCTTGTTCTCTGCCAATAATCTGCCAAACACAGGAGCTGAAGCTTGACCTTTCAGGTGCTATCTTGCTTAAGAACATAGTGGAAGTCCAGGTTCCCAACATATGCTGGGTTCCTCCACCTCCTGAAAGCTACGGACACCTTTCAAGTTAGGTATCCCTTAGGTACAGGACACCTAACACCAATTGCCCTCTCTTCATCCCCCTTACCTTCTTCATCCAGACTTCCCATCCTCTTCCTCACTTCTCATTTACTTACGTAATCTAAAATGTAGCTGAGTGGGGAGTCAATACCAAAAGGCAATATGATATAAGTACAGGGACATGGCCTGCTTTACAAAGGCTCTGCATATTTGGACAGTCCCTGCTTCGGTGCTCACCCTGAGCCCTCTTGTTCCAGGGCTATCTCCTCACTTGCCTTCTGGCTCTCCCATGCCCTTTTCTGAAGGATACCACCATTTCCCCCATTGAGCAAACTGGCCTGTGGGGGAGGGTGGTACACACAGCAGCCTTGCCCAGCTCTCCCATCACAACATGCCCGGACCCAGGGGTCCACGGGGGCTAGGACTTGGACATGCCAAGGATTACACAATACCACCTAGGGAGAAAGCGCTTGTGACAATGAACATTCAGATAGCCCTTCCTTCTGGGTGTCAGAAAAGAGAAGCCCCACATCTGGCTTGGCTGAAAAACACTTTATTGATGTAGGAGCTGGCATCATAAGACGAAGATTATAGACGAAATGTTGGTGTTGTACTATTCAGTTTTGGCAAAGAAAAGTTTGGTGTCAAAAATGGTGATCACATTGCATAGCTCATTTGTGAACAGATTTTTTCTCCAGAAATAGAAGTTCAAGCTTTGGATGACACTGAAAAGGGTTCTGGAGGTTTGGGTTCTACTGGAAAGAATTAAAATGTATGCCAAGAATCAAAAACGAGAAATCATACCTTTTTCTCAAAAATAAAGAGTTTTTGCTTTTAAAAAAGAAAAAGATTCTGTAAAAGAATTTGTATCTACCTAATAAAATGTTTCTTCTGAGCAGTTCAAAAACATCTGCTTTACAAACACTAGCTGTGTCTATTAGAGAAAGCTAAAGTCTAGTGCTTTGCTGACTGACACACACTGGAAGTATTTCCACTCCCTTACCTGGTGTAGAAACCAAAATCTGACAACGCGTGAGAATGGCCAGGAGGAAATCATTGTGAGAATGGACTGAAAAAGGGAAGACAGTGACAATCAAATTCAAACATTTTCAACACAAGGAAACCACAACTTTGGTCTAGCTTGTCAGGATTTTGGATATCTCCTATTCTGCCATGCTTTATACTTAATTTTAAATATCCACATGATTCAGATAACCTTATACACCACAAAACCCAAATTTTACTTTTTAAAAAGGGAAAAGACTTTACTACAAATCTAGGAAAATTATAGAATAGTAAAATAACTCCGCAGATAATTATTTTACCATTATCCTGCGTGAGAAGTCTATGAGCTTCAAGGTCAAACTCCTCTTTGCTGATTTTCTGCTTGAACCACAGCTTTAGGTTAGCCCAGTATCTGTAGAGGCAGAAACAATATTAAGAACCACAGATTTGGCTGCTTCCAGTTTGTTTTCAATTGGTGTTTTTTTTTTTTTAGAGACAGGGTTTTATTTTGTCACTCAGGCTGGAGTGCAGGGGAACAATCAGGGCTCTGAACTTCTGGCTTTAAGCTACCCTCTCACCTCAGCCTCCTGAGTAGCTGGGGCTACAGCACGAACAGATCTTGCTTCTTCCCCAAGTTCAGCATACATGCTCCAACTCTCAGGAAAGGAAATTCTGCATTCCCTGGCTCTGTGGGCTGAATTGTGTCCCCCCACAAAAGTCCTATGTTAAAGCCTTAACCCTAGTACTTCAGAATGTGACTGTATTTGGAGATTGGGCCTTTAAATAGTAATTTAAATGAGGCCATTAGGGTCGGCCCTAATCCAATATGATTGGTGCCTAAGATAAGAAGAGGCAATTAGGACACAGACACATTCACATACAAAGAAATAACCATGTGAACACACAACAAGAAGGCTGTCATCTATAGGAGAGAGGCCTCCTGCCAAAATCTTGATCACAGACTTCCAGCCTACAGAACTGTGAGAAAATAATTTCTGTTGTTTAAGCGAACCAGTCTGTGGTACTTTGTTACGGCAGCCCTAGCAAACTAATACACCTAGGAATCAGAATACCAACAAAGAAAGGAAAATCCTCCCTAAAAGGGGACTGGCCAGCGCAGTGGCTTATGCCTGTAATCCCAGCACTTTGGGAGGTCAAGGCAGGCAGAATGCTTGAACCCAGGAGTTCGAGATTAGCCTGGGCAACATGACGGAACCCCCTTCTACAAAAAATACAAAACTTAGCTGTGCATGGTGGTGCATGCCTGTAGTCCCTGCTACCTGGGAGACTGAAGTGGAGGGACTGATTGAGCCCAGGAGGTCAGGGCTGCGGTGAGCCATGATCACACCACTACACTCCAGCCTGGGTGACAGAGCAAGACCTTGTCTCAAAACAAATAAAAGGGAATTGGCAGGTAGTCACAGAATTGGGCTCGTGATTCACTTAGCCCAACACTATAGCTATACCTTTGTTTCTCACTGTCACCTTTCTAACAGACCTACTCTCCAGAATCCTGCATTTCAGATTCACATTTCAAAGTGTGTGTGTTTAACAGAGAGGGGAGTAGTCATTTATATTTGTTTTAGGTGACATCCTTCCCTTCAGATAAACTCAACTTTCAATCTAACTGGCTGGAAAAAAAAAAAAAATTGGGTTTCTAAACATCTCAGCACAAAGAAAATGCCTGGGGATATGAGAAACTTGGTAGTTTTTAAAGTGAAAATCAACACCTAATAATAAAAATTACTAGGTAACTGGTAGAAAAAAAAATGACTTAACCTTTTACACTTTAACAAGAGTGTTAGAAATTAGAGTAAAATATGTCACTTTTCACATCACATCCACAACCCTTGTTTTGGTACTTAAGGAAGCTGCTTCTTGTTTATGGAATGGGATGAAAAATTACTCAGTACTTGAGTTCCTAACAGGAAAAAAAAAAAAAAAACAGATTTCTAAATGGGATGATTTAATATTTTCACTGCCATATTATGCCCATGGCAGGACTCCCCCTGTGTGTGGATTAGCTTCACGTCATCTTAGTATCTCTGTATGTAATTGACTATGATCATATGTAGTTGCATGCAAAGCTTTGGGTTCATGTTTGTTGTTGTGTTGTTTTTCAGGAGAAAACCTATCGCTTTTATGGGGTCTTAAGTGGCCCAAAACCCATGACACTGCCATCTTTCAGGCCCATTTCACTCAACAACAAAACACGTGCCGATCTAGAGCTTGGTACCCTTTCCACTTGATAGCTGCACATTCATTAGTCAATCGATTAACAGCAACTTCCCAACAGTGGACACTTTTATACATTTTTTAAAGGACAGGAATAATAATGAAATAAATAAAATAAAGTTCCACAGAAAAACAAAGGTCTTTTCCTATCCCATCCTATTCAACAACAACAACAAAAAAATAGTAACCTAGAGAAAAACTCTATTATTTAAAAGTCCTATGTCAGTATTTTATAAGAAGCAGATATATATTTGGAATGAATGAACTTGTTCCAAAACTAAAACAAGGCTCTACCATGGAGCTCTGTCAAAATAATGCAAACTATTTTCTCCAGTGGCAAACGTTTTAGCCCAAAGAGCTAGAACTAGCTACCAAAAGTTAAAAGACTTGCTCTCCAATCCTGGTCCCTGTGTTAACTCACTGTATAGCCACAGACAAATGACTGTTTCCCTCAACAATACTGCTATAGTTTGGACATTTGACCAAACCTCATGATGACATTTAATCCTCAATGGTGGGGGTGGAACCTAATGGGAGGTGTTTGGGTTATGGGAGAGGATTCCTCACCAGTGGCTTGGTGTGATCTTTCCTAGTGGTAATGAGTGAGAGCTCGCTCACACTGTGAGTTCCTGCAAGAGATTCTCCAAGCGCTGGTTGTTAAAAAAGAGCCTGACACCTTCCCCATCTCTTGCTTCCTCTCACAAACTGATCTGCAGGCCGGGCGCAGTGACTCACGCCTATAATCCCAGCACTTTGGGAGGCCAAGGCAGGTGGATCACCTGAGGTCAGGAGTTCAAGATCAGCCTGACCAATATAATGAAACCCCGCTTCTACTGAAAATACAAAAATTAGCCAGGTGTGGTGGAATGTGCCTGTAATCCCAGCTACTTGGGAGACTGAGGCAGGATAATCGTTTGAACCCGGGAGGCAGAGGTTTCAGTGAGTCCAGATTGTGCCATTGCATTCCATCCTGGGCAACAAGAGCGAAACTGTCTCCAAAAAAAAAAAAGAAAAAAAAAGTGATCTGTACATGCGGGTTCCCCTTCACCTTCCATCATGAGTGAAGCTGCCTGAGGCCCTCACCAGAAGATGCTGGTGCCATGCTTTTGGTACAGTCTGCAGATCTGTGAGCCAAATTAACTTCTTTATAAATTACCCAGCCTCAACTATTCCTTTATAGCAACACAAATGGATTAAGGACAAATACCAAAAAACAAAGTCAATCAATCCCTGTGAAGGTGAGGACAATGGGTAGAAGTGTAAGTAGGTCAGACTACGAAGCACTGGATATATCTAAAGAATATTAAATAACATATGATCATGGCCAGACGCAGTGACTCACACCTGTAATCCCAGCACTTTGGAAGGCCAAGGTGGGTGGATCACGTGAGGTCAGGAGTTCAAGACCAGCCTGGCCAACATGGCGAAACTCTGTCTCTATTAAAAATACAAAAATTAGCCAGACATGGTGGTGGGCACCTGTAATTCCAGCTACTCAGGAGGCTGATGCAGGACAATCACTTGAGCCCAGAAGGTGGAGGTTGCAGTGAGCCAAGATCGCGCCACTGTACTCCAGCCTGGGCAACAAAGTGAGACTCTGTCTCAAAATAAATACATACATACATAAAGAAATAACATATGATCAAATCGATAACAGAAACGAGGCACCTATTTGAACATGGCATTCTACTGGCTACCATACAAAGTGAGTTGTCTAGCAAAGCCCATGTCTTCCTGGAAGCAGCTTGGGCACACAACTCAACCAGTCAGACATGAAGGATGTTCAGACCACTGGATACATAGCAAATAGCTCATATCCAGCCTCTGTGCATAACCTTGTATGTTTTGCCTACTGCCAAGGACCACACTTAAATAGGCTATGCAAACCAAAGCAAATTGCTCATGGAGGAAATATAATAAATGACTGTACAGTACAGCAGTGTTACTATTTAACCAAGAGGTACTTTTTAAGGAGAAGGGAAAAGAACAATGAGAGAATGGAAAAACAAATTTAGAACTATACCATACCATTAACTGTTTCAGGCATAAAAACTTCTTTTGATTGCATTTTAGTGGGGATTCATGCTCCAGATGTACCAAATTTAGCTTCAGCATCAGTATTTGACCAACATCACATAGTCGGTTTTGGCCTTTAAAACCTAAATAAGGAATGCTAACTTCAAAAACACTTTTGGCAGCCCTGAACCTGTAACTGATGAGTATGGGATGACAGAGGTCACCATTGCATCTAATCAGGGTTAAAGGCAATCATACACAAACCAGGTCCTTCAGATTTATTTTGGTATGTAAACATTCGCTTTCAAATATTTGTAAACACTGTAGATAGAACAAAGTGAAATGCCTCTTATGTGCTTAAAAATGTAAATTTTGGCTGGGCGCTGTGGCTCACATCGGTAATCCCAGCACTTTGGGAGGCCTAGGCAGGTGGATCACAAGGTCAGGAGTTCAAGACCAGCCTGGCCAAGATGGTGACACCCGGTCTCTACTAAAAATACAAACATTAGCCGGGCATGGTGGCGGGTGCCTGTAATCCTAGCTACTCAGGAGGCTGAGGCAGAGAATTGCTTGAACCCAGGAGGTGGAGGTTGCAGTGAGCGAAGATAATGCCACTGCACTCCAGCCAGGACGACAGAACGAGACTCTATCTCAAAAAAAAAGGTAAATTTTATCAGTCGGTATTAAAAAAGTAAAAACCTATAGTAATTAGGGTGAAAGCTGTCAATTTTACCTATTAAAATAAGTAAGAATATTCAATTCAATAAGCACAGTGAACATGAATATTAAAAGATAACTTTCGGGGAGCATTATAGTCGGGTGTGGTGGCTCATGCCTGTAATCCCAGAACTTTAGGAGGCCAACGCGGGAGGATTGCTTGAGGCCAGGATTTGAGGTCAGCCTGGGCAACACAGCAAAACTCTGCCTCTGAAAAAAAAACTTTAGCCAGGATTGGTGGGGCATGCCTATAGTCCCAGTTATAGGCTCACGGCACGGGAGGATCTCTTGAGCTCAGGAGATCAACGTTGCTGTGAACTGTGTGATCAGGCCACTGTACTTCGGTCTCTGCCACAGAGCAAGACCCCAATCCAAAAAAAAAAAAAAAAAAAGTGTAACATGTCTCTGGGAGTAAATAAATGTTCACCAAAAATTAATTATGCTAAAATAACAGTTTAGATTTTAATTCTAGTCTTTTTATAGTTTCCATTACTATCTTATTAGGATGAAAAGTAGACTGTCAACTCTGCCACCCCAAAATTTCACATGAAGGAAAAACTACAAAATTCATGGATGACATCCAAGGTAAGTAATTTCAACCCAGTAATAATAAAGAACAGAGAAGGATGAAAAGAAAGTATTGGAGAAAAATTAAGTATTCCCAAATTGCTCCTCCACCAACATCATTTAAAAGTGTGCATCCATTGAGTCATGCAAATGTGTAGAATACCACAGAAGCCATCTAGCAGCAAAAACACAGGCACTATAATTTTAAATGTTTACATTTGCTTTCTACATTTTTGAAAAATAAAGTTGTAATAACAACGTTTTGAAAATTTCCAAACTCTTCCTTGTATCCCAGAGGTTCCTTTTACGCTGTTTGGCTTTGGCCTTGGCTGGATACTGATTTTACCCTTGGCCATTCTGAATCTAACCCGACTGTGCACTAAGTCCCCTGCCATAACCTGGATGAAGGTCTGGCTGGGCGTCTCTGGGATCCTTCACAGCCCCTCTAAGAAATCAGTCGAGAATCAAAAGCGTGGGTCCCAATCCTGACAGTGACTTTTGAAGTTATTTATCTGCACTAGGTGTCTCAGTCTTCTCATCTGTCAAATGGGAATAACAAGTGTACCTACCTCACATCTGTTGTAAGGATTAGATAATATATTTAGTGAGTTCAAAATGTTTAAATGTCCGCTACTGCTATCATCACTATAATTGTAGTGTTCAATGACTATGATTTCACTAGAGGGTCCGTCTGCCTTACGAAATTGCTGTCAAAAGAGCTTACCGATAATCCCTAGCAGATCACACGAGCTCAACAGGCCTTCACCTCCAGGAAGCCCTCCTGGGATGGGCCGCCCTGAGCGATGCCCTCTGGCTGGGCGCACAGGGCCCGGTTCACTCCGCCCAAGTCAGCCTCCCGCATCCCGCAGGCCCGCGCTGGGGCCCGCACCTGCTCAGCAGGCCCTTGAGTGCGAAGTGCGCTTCTCCCGCCCCACCCAGGGCAGAGAGTCCCGAGCAAAGGCGCCCGCCGGGGTCTCCCGGGTGCCCAGGAGGCTCGGTCCCTCCAGGGCGGTGAGTTCAGGTGGCCGCCCCGCCCCGGCCGGAGAAACCCCGAAGCCCCACCGCCGCGGACTCAAGGCTGCACAGGCCCCCGGGCGGTGCGGGCGTCTCCGGGGCGGGCGGGCAGCCCGAGGCCAGGAGAGCACCCGCGTGTTGGCCTGGACGCTGCGCTGGGGCAGCTCTTACTGTTTCACGTTGTCCCCCAGGGCCTCGCTCAAGTTCTTCTTGGCCGCCTCCAGCTCGCTCACAAAGGTCGCCATTGCTCCGCGCGTCTCAGCCCGACCGCAGACCGCCCGGCCACCGCGATCAACAACCAAAAAACCAACGCGGCGGAAGGCCTTGGCTCTGAAAGCTAAGCCTGCCGCCGTCAGCCCCGCCCCCAATCTCTCAGAAGTCGTTTGTTTGGTTTTCGGCTCCGCCCGCCTTTTTGTAGGGAAGGTGCCCAGCCAAACTCTGCTCTCTTCCTCCCGCCCCTCGAGTCACGTGATCCGCTTCACCTTGTAGCGCGCCCAACCTAAAGCCGCGCGCCCCGCCTCGGCTGCAGCGTTGCTGGCAGGCTGGCGGGTCCCAAGCCCTTTCATTCTGGTACCGCTGGGGCAATTCCGAATTCAGCCTGCTGTCCTTCTGCCTGGAGGAGTACCTTACCGTTCCATTTCAAAAAGTAGATGCAGTATCAGTTTTACTCTTTCCTTGCCTTATTTTTCCCCGAGCACTAATCGTCTCATATGACATTTAGTTGATTTATCTTGTAAAAGTTATGGCTCGAGGACAGGAGTTGTGTTTTATTCACTATTACCCGCAGTTCCTAGAGCAGCGACTGGCACATAGTGGATGCTTAGTAAGTATTTGAGTAAATGAGGTAATTATGTAAAATTTGGAAAATACACAGAAGGATAAAGATAAAAAGAAAGAAAAACTGTTTCACCACTCCCGGACAAACACTTGGATTTCTCCTTTACTTCTCACACCCCCATGACTTAAAATACTCTGTTCAATTTTGCACGTTTTTAAACTTAAGGATTTGTCTGTAGTATTATGTTGTCTTTATAATAATTTTAATGACAACATATTAAATACCCCCACAGATGGAAAGTACACAATAACTTGTTTCCCAATTGTTAGACTGTTTCCATTTTTTTTTTCTATTAAAAGCAATACTGTAATACTGCTTTGGAAGCATATAGCATAATGAAGCAAAACTTCTTTATGCGTAAAACTTTTCCTCCTTTAGGATTATTACCTTAGCATAGAGTCCAACAAATAGAATTACTGGATCAAATGATAGGAATATTTATAAATGCCTTGGTGTATATTGTCAAATTGCCTCCCAAAGATTTTAAAATAATCCTAGATAGCTTTTAAATCTTGTGCGATTTCTCCAAAGAAGTCCCCTTAAGTTCATTCATTCAACTTCCTCACTGCCCAACCTAAACCCACAAGCAGTGCCAGCAGGGCACCTTCTCTTCACTTGAATTCATACAGTGAGCTCCTATTATGTGTCTGGAACTCTTTGGGTACTGGAGATGTACAGGTGAAAGGAGATAGAAAGATCAGGCAAAGTTTCCTCTCTGTGTCAAAACTCCGGGTAAATTTTGACACATTTTAAAAATATCCACTTAAGTTTTCCATGGCTCCCCACTCTGCTGAACAGATTCCAGACTCCAGCATTCAAATGTTCTCATGAACTGAACTCACTCTACCTGTGTACCTCACACACCACTGGCCTTCCCTCTTAACCCCCACACTTGCACTCAGCATTCTAATTAACTTGACTTTAACAAATCACATAGCTCTGTCCCTTTACACGTATCTCCTCTCTACTGGTTTTCAGACACCATCTTTAAGAACTGTAACACCATGTTTAAGAACTTTAAGAGACACTGCAGGCCGGGCGCGGTGGCTCAAGCCTGTAATCCCAGCACTTTGGGAGGCCGAGACGGGCGGATCACGAGGTCAGGAGATCGAGACCATCCTGGTTAACACGGTGAAACCCCGTCTCTACTAAAAAATACAAAAAATTAGCCGGGCGCGGTGGTGGGCGCCTGTAGTCCCAGCTACTCGGGAGGCTGAGGCAGGAGAATGGCCTGAACCCGGGAGGCGGAGCTTGCAGTGAGCTGAGATCCGGCCACTGCACTCCAGCCCGGGCGACAGAGCGAGACTCTGTCTCAAAAAAAAAAAAAAAGAGACACTGCAAGGGTCCGCAGCTTCATTCTTGAAGTCAGCGAGACCAAGAACCCGCCGGAAGAAACCAATTCTGGACACAATATTATAAATGAATACCAAGCCGGGGGTGGTGGCACATGCCTGTAGTCCCACCTACTGGGGAGGCTGAAGTGAGAGGATTGCTTGGGCCCAGGAGTTCAAGTCTGCAGTGCGCTATGAGAGCACCACTGCACTCCAGCTTAGGCAACAGAGTGAGACCATGACTTTAAAAAACAAATTTTTTTGAAAGGAAATGAATATTAAAACCACTTGTAATTTGGAAGGTTACTTTAAAGAAACTAATTCTAAACCTTTTACTTATAGCAGTATTTGTACAATGCATAGTGCAACTAATAAATAGCTTCAGAGAATGTGTGTCAAAATGCTTTATAAAGAGCAAGGAACTTGACAAATGTTTAGTCTAGTTTTTTTTTCCCTTCTATTTTTTGGGTAATCCAGCTGGTTACAAGCTGGTTTGAGAGTAACTAGTAGAGTTAACTCAATAGGTTGCTGAGAACAGACGTCTGAGGATCCAAACTTACCTAACATCTAAGTATTTATGAATATTTCTCCAAGTATATGGATTATGTGTATAAATATTTACATATGTAGTCTCCATTTACATAAAATAAAGTTTCCTTTATCTTATCCATATCTTTTTTCCATTTCATTAGATAGATAACTGAAGGTTGGTGGTATTATTCATATATACTGCCTGTTTCTCTACAACTTTTTTCCTTCATAAATATAATTGTGTACAAACAAGGAAAACCCTCTAAACGGTGTATTCTCATAGATAGTTTACTTACATATTTATGAGAGCCTGGCCTGTACCTCCTTAATTTTTCCCATTCTTATTCTGTATTTTATTAAGCACTAGTCTTTTAACATTAGGATTTCTTTTTTTATTGTGGTGAGAACACATAACACATGATCTTCCCATTTAACCTTTTTTTTTTTTTTTTTGAGACAGAATCTTGCTCTGTCGCCCAAGCTGGAGTGCAATGGTGCGATCTCGGCTCATTACAACCTCTGCCTCCTGGGTTCAAGAGATTCTTCTGCCTCAGCCTCCCGAGTAGCTGAGATTACAGGCACGTGTTACCACGCCCAGCTAACTTTTTTTGTATTTTCAATAGAGACGGGGTTTCACCGTATTAGCCAGGATGGTCTTAATCTGTTGACCTCATGATCTGCCCACCTCGGCCTCCCAAAGTGCTGGGATTACAGGCATGAGCCCCCATGACAAGCCCCCCTTTTAACAAATTTTTAAGTGCACAATACATTATTATTGACTACAGGTACTGTGTTGCACAGCAGATCTCTAGAGTCTATTCATGTTGCTTGACTAAAAGTTTATGATTAGCGACTCCTCATTTCCCCTCTCAACAGTCTCTGGTAACCACCATCCCACTCTTTGAGTCTATAAATTCGACTATTTTAGATACCCACATAAGTGGAGTCATGCAGCAGTATTTGTCTTTCTGTGACTAGCTTATTTCATTTAACATAATGTTCTCAAGGTTCATCCATGTTGTCACATATTGCAGAATTTCCTTCCTTTTTAAGGCTAATAGTATTCCATTGTGTACACACACACACACACACACCCCACATTTTCTTTATCCATTCATCTGTCGATGAACATTTTGGTTATTTCCACATCTTGGCTATTGTGAATAGTGCTGCAATGAACATAGGAATGCTAATATTTCTTTGAGATCCTCATTTTAATTCTTTTTGATAAATGCCTAGAAGTGGGATTGCTAGATCAGATGGTAATTCTATTTTTAATTTTTTGAAGAACCTCTACACTGTGTTCCATAGTGGCTGCACCATTTCGCATTTCTGCCAACAGTGTACAAGGATTTCAATTTCTCTCCATCGTCGCCAACACTTATCTTTTGGATTGACTTTAGAATTTGACGTTGAAGGGTTGAAGGAGTTCTGAGATGTTCCAGCTCTGGAGATTATATAGTTATTATTCTGTCTTAATCCAATATATGATATTTAGATTTAGTTTATTTAGCTTTTTAAATAAATCATAGACTCCTTCTTTACATGGCCAGGGCCTAGCATAGCAAAAATATTTGATTGACTTTCTTACTCCACTTACCCATTACCATTGACTCATTAGCACTGTCAGCAAATGTGTGAGTTATTTCCATTTCAGACATCAGCAGCTCTGCTTTCCTAGAAGGACTCTTACAGTTCAGCTTTAAAATATTATTAATCATATATTCAATTTTCTTGTTGAACTTATAACATTTGCTGTAGTTTGTAATACTTATATGTATGCTATGCTGTGGTACATAAGGTACATGCATATGGTAACTATACATATGGTACCTATACATATGGTTATACTATGGTACATGGTGGCTCAAACTCAACATAAATGTTTGTTGGAATTAAATATTTTAGAAAATTCTATGTAATGTTTTCCTCCTCTATATCTGCATCAGTCTACAGATTTTAATATAGTTAAAGGTTATAAACATGGGATATATTAGGCCCTAGTAAAATTTATGGTTGAAAATAAGTTGAGAGTTATCTTGCCCTGATACCACATCTATTTATTTTATGCCTGATGGAAGGAGGTAAAGAGGTTCTTAATTCTTTTTCTTTCAATGCCATGGGATCTCACTGCCAGTCCGGTGATGCCTTTGGAGTCCTTCTAAGAATAATGTTTTAATGCATAAATAACATAGCATTACATTTAAAACAATTTTATTGAACACAGTTCTATCATGGGCCTTTTTGGGGCCCATGGGCCCCAGCTTAAGACACTCTTAAGTTTTACAGGTACTTGTCTTAATCCATTCAGACATCTACAACAAAATACCACAGTCTAGGTGGCTTAAACAATTGAAACATCATCTCACAGTTGTGGAGGCTGGAAGTTTCATGTTTGGAAAGGTTTGGAAAAGAACCCCTTCAGACTTCTGTAACCACGTAGCCAAATAAAATTTGGAAATTTTGAAGCCTTTGACCACTACTCAGAATGTGGATAAGAGCTTCTCCACAGTGCTAAAAAATATGTTTGTATCATGATGAAGGTAAAGCATTGGAGAGATCTTTGGCGCTCTGGGCAGG